TCTACGCAGGCTGCACTATATGCCCGCGGCGATGCCAAAGAACCTCATATTGCCATAGGTCAGCTCCGCGATGATGTCCTCCGCTTTGAACTCCAGGGCAAGCGTCGTGAGGAGCTCTGGCGACGGGTTCGCAGCTTTGTCGAGGGCAACGCTAACGTCCGCGCTTCTGTGCGAGAAGGACGTAGCGGTGATGTTTCTCGAGTCTGGGAGTGGATCGGTGGGATCAACGCTGTCGGCGAGCAGGAACATATTGGCCGCCGTGAGAGTGCACGATTCTCTATCCCTTCTCCATCCGGTAACATCGTGTCAAGCCCCCACATCCCTGCGGGTGAAAGTCAACCCGAGCCTATTTCTAGTCCGAGGGAATCTCGCCGCTGGGACGAGGGCCGTCCGATCTATTGATTCTCGTCCCGCTGTCCGGGTGATACCTTTGGTATCTGTGCATGCAGCTCAACTGTGACTGTATTCCTTTTTATATCCCACCCGCTTTTCTTTCCTGATGTATGAGATATGGCCCTTGTTTCCCAGATTTTCTTGTCTTTTCCCCTCACTTTATTCCCTGCTTCCTTCGTTTACTTCATCGGTACATATTATTTCCTGTCCATACAAATCCCATTACCCATTCTAATCCACTTCATTTTTCCCAAACCCAATCTTCGTCCTAGTGCTGGTTTACGCACGATATATGTAAGGCAATGTAGTCCTGCAACCATTCTTGGATTTTGTCTTGGCCGATGGCAAACCGAACCCGAGGTCCTGCAGAGTAAAATAGCGCGTATGCAACGCACCAAATCGGGTACATGTATATATAGAACTGCTATCACACCGATGGAACCAGAGGGGGTTTCCTGCGGATGAATATACGCATAATCCAGGGGAAACATCTCCACTGCTCCTAATGGATATAGTACTCCGTGTCACCCAGGCCTAGTATCGTGTATCAGCTCGATGATGCAGGCAATACCAGCCCAACGGTGAAGATCAAGACCCACACTATCCCCCCTATAGTGCTTATGTGCATATGTCCCTCGGTTAACAGCCATGTGGATAAACGGGCATTGGTACGGTACGCTCGTTCAACTATGTGACCAGTGCGAAGAGAGCCTGGAAGCCACTCGATCCAGATAAGAATAAATGAATTAACTTTCATTTAAACATCCCACTTAGTCAAACACTCTACAGCCCGTCTGCAGGTTCGAAGTCAATCTGCATCACGCTAAAAAGGCATATCGCTCTCGCTCCCGCTCTTGACCGTCTCCGTTCTTGATGCCCAACGTATCGAGCTGATCAATCAATATCCCTGTCGGTTCCGGATCCCTAGTACCCGTGTGCTTTTGTCCGCATCGATGGGCTACATGCAGATTAGGTAAGGGGAATACGTTAGATCGTGTGGGGCTTGTTTTAAGGCTGTTCCTTTGCTTTCGTTTTTACGTTTAGCTCTATAAGAAGTGTTGGTTGCCCAGGTGGTATTGGTGATAGTGCCATCGAGGGGGGGTTCCAAGACCGTTTGATATCAGTATCCAATTAAATGAGGGGAATTTGAGAAGTGCTGTTGGAAGATATACTGTAATTTGGAATAACATTAGGAAACAATCTACGGAGTACTCGGCGCAACAAAGAAGTTGATATCTTACGTGCTTCGCACATTATTGTCTACCACCACAGTGGTTCGAAGGATCTATCTACAGATGCGCGATTCGCAGTCCAAAGCAGCAGAGACCAATCAGGAAGCGGGGAGTTAAGTGATACATGCATATTATCAGATCCTGCGGTAAAAACCCAGGAATTCCTTCCTGGACGGTCAGCCAACCAGCTCCTATCTTTGCTCGGGGGAAAAGGTTTCCTCGGGAGACGGGACTGCTTTTGCGTGCTTGGTATAGGGAGTACGTTGTATCTGGCGCAAAAGCACCTACATAGGGTAAAGTCCCTACATATGGAAAAGCACCTACATAGGGAAGGTAGGATAGCCCTAAATAAGTTGACTCTGGTGGCGAATTCCGATTTTGACCGCTTCTTGAGGGTTATCCTAGGGAGGCATCCTATCAAGGAGTGCTGAGGGGGCAATGGGGTGGATACATACGGTCAGTATCCGTACGCCGTATCCAGTGCTCCGTATGGTCTTTGGGGTTTTTTTTTTTTTTTTTAACTACTTTTTTCACGAGATTGCGTTTTTATCTCCGGCCCCGCTATCCTTGGTGCCGAGATACAGTTAGGGCAACATGTAACAATCTAGTAAGTATAGTGCAAATGACTGCTTGCTCTAGGGCAGCACAGGATGCTTTCTTCCTTGCATCGCTGTAGGTCGGCAGGATTCTACCTGGATGGTTAGGAGTTGTGCGGGATAGGGGCCACGTAGCGTTGTGGCGCCGAAGATCGGTGAGCGGGCGCAATAACTGTGCGAGGTAGAATCACGAGGATCGGGATAGTGGAGATATTTGTAAATGGAAGATGGAGAATGTGAGGTATGTATTCATATAGGGTAAGATCGCAGAGATTGCAGATATGCGTGTACTTCGACTCGCCTATGGCGAGTAAGGCTCCGAGTTAGACCAGATTGGATGACCAGCGGAGGGATCAGCGTTGGAACGGCTTTTCACCTCTCTGCAGACGTTGATGCAGACCCTTATGCAGACCCTTCGCTCGATATTTGAGCCGTGATTGGATTAGCCAATAAGAGAGATAGTTGCGAATACCTTCTTCTTGGAAGCTTTCAAGGTTTTCTCGGCAAGGAGAAACAAATCATGTATGGTACGGAAGTATTCTCCCGGGGAATTATTGATGTCAAGGTAACAGCCACATCCAAGTCTGTGGTGACGGACTTGTACTCCGTAGTTCTCTTAGTCTCGTGTTTGTTTTGTTTTTGTTTTTGTTTTTTTTTTTTTTTTCTGATAAAAAAAAAAGAGTAAATGAATGATCAGAGTTAAAGACCATGTTGTGCATAGCGAAATCGAGATGGTGCAGTCAGGAACAAGATGAGAGATTTGCCCTTCTCACAATGGACCATGGAACTCTTCGCCGGCACCAGTCAGAGTACTAGATTATGGCCCACCTGTCAATTTTATTCCTAATCCTGGTCCGTATTAGTATTGCCCTGTCCCACTTTGTCTTGGTATATCCACAGGCGGTGTCGGCTGAAATCGGTTGAAATCGCATTCCAGATGTATGTGCTCCATAGTCAGAACTCTGGAGGGTATCCATTTCATGCAGAATCGTCAGCCACAGAGGAAGATTGGATCGGGTGCATATACTTCATGCACGGGACAGAGTTGATCCATGGGAATCAAGGGACATATTTCAAGAATCTGTTGATGGCTGCGGACAAACCGTGGTAGAGCAAGCCCTACGAGCAGCCCAGACCCCAGAAGTTAGATACCCTTTGTGAGTACCCCATGCATATATGGTGTTATGTATGCCTCGCTCGATGGATATTATTCGACACTTGGGGACCGATGAAATTTCCAGCCAATATTGAGCTACTTTGTACTTGAGGGTGATTGGATGGATTCTTCACTTCTCGTTAACGGTGTAGACGAGTTGATCCTAGAACGGCATAACAGGGAGGTTAGAATGTCAGAAATTATAGTTTGAGTTAATATGCTGAGAGGACTCGCGTGCCGTTGGTTCACTTGGGTGGCAAAACTGCCATGGTGGGGACTTGACAACTCGCCCTGGTGGGGTTGGCACGTCCACTAAACAACTCAGGAAATTGTTTGGTGGGGTTTCTATAATGTTCCAGAGAGGTATAGAAACAGCACATCTGAGAATGTATGGATACGCACTATATCGGCGTGTAGGGGGAAACCGGAGTCATCTCCCGGAGCCTTGCACATAAAGGTATGAAAATATGGTGTTAGATTCTTGAGAGAAAGGGAGAGAAATAAAAGAATAAAAGAATTCTCATCGCACTCTAGATCTCCTGATCGACACAGTGAACCGAGAATGTCAGGGATCGGCTCAAGCACATACATAGACCCATTTTATTTTATTTTTCCCCGATTGACACAGAAAGGGGAAAGAAACAAAACGGATTTTACATTAACCAATGATGTTTAACGCAAGTGATATGGGGTGATGATTTCATGTTGGGAGACTTGGTTGAGCCTATCATTTGCCCCGGAAAATAACTCCGGACCCGATAAATTAGGGTTATGGATAGGATTAGACTTATATAAGGCTATGAAGGACAATACGAACAGAAAAAGTACTAGAAAAAAGTACTACAAATCATATAATATGTTGAATACGTTGTATTGACAACATATATATGTGACTAAATTATTTCTATTCCGTATGGCGTCCTTGGTACCTGGTTATTAACTCCGATGATTGCTCCTGTTTTATCCCCCATTTTGACCATTAGCAGATATCGAGATTGCAAGGCTGATTTTGGTATCAATATATAAATATATAAATATCTAGGGTTATATATGTATGTACAGTTTTATTTATTATTATTATTGTTATCATATTATTATTCAAGTTAATAAATGATATCTTAGATCAAGGATTATTCCGAGCCTCTCCAATAGTTCGATCCTTTGCTTATTTTCTGGACATGCCTGAAGGCCCACATCCGCCACTCAGTTTTCGATCCCTCACTCTCTCCTCTTGTTTCCCTTTTCCTGGTTTTTATTTTATTTATTTATTTATTTACTACGTATTAATTTTATTTTTTTACATTTTCTTTTATTTACCTGTTTACCTGTTATTTACCTGTTATTTTCGGATTTTCTTATTATTTTCGTCTTTTTGCATATTATCTCTCTTTTCCCCCACTTTGCCCTCATGCCCTTCTAATCTAGACAGCGCACAGTGCAGAATTCACTCCATAGGTCAGCGCGGCCACAGGGCCCCTCCTCTCTTTCTCCATTCTATAACTTCTCTATGATCTTTCTGTGTTCCGTGGGATTTGATTATCATGCTTTTAAATGGTTGGGAAGACAGAGAGTTGGGCTTCTGATTTGTTACTCATCATTTTGTTCTTCTTGCGCGCAGACTTGATGAGTGAACAGGCACCCCGAGGCTATAGGCCTCTTGCGCCTCGCACCAGGCTACTCGGAGGAAGCAGAGATAGCGGAGAGGGAACAGGGAGTCCTGCTGGTGGGAGTGCACCAGAAGAAAAACGAATGCGACGAGCATCGACGGCGTGTACAGAGTGTCAAAAACGCCGGACCAGGGTACATATCCACTGCGCTTCCTATTTTCCCTTAACGTCTCTCCCCTTTATTTCACTTAATCTGCGCTTCAATCAATCTGACATGCTCCTCTATTTTATTTTGCTAGTGTACCGGCCCTCCTCATTGCACCGAATGCTCAACCCACGCCCGCGAATGTGTATTCGATGAAGCCGCCGACAGACGCCGTAAGGCCTCGGCCAAGAGAGTTCAGGATCAGTTGGACTATTTCCGGTCATTCGTGGACGATCTCATCGGGCTTATCCGAGATGGTGACCGCCAGACGGTGCAGACAATGGTCGATACCATACGATCGGGAGCAACCTCTGGAGATGTTCGAGATCTCCTCAACAGTATCTTGGAAGAGAATCAATCCAATTCCCGAAATTCAGGCGTGCACGCCTCAAGTTTGAACCTGAACCTGAACATTACTCCCAACAATCAAATGGGCAATTACTTCAATCCTCCTCGCTGAATTAACCCAACCTCTCTTCGGGCATTTACGCATCTCTGGACGAATACGTGCCAGCGCTTACCCCCGTCTCCGAATTCTCCTCGCCAAATCTTCTCGATCTCAAATTCTCGAACGACCAAACGAATCTGGTTGTTTCATAGCGTTTCCTTTATAGCTGTTATTCTTGTCGCGTTCCTGGGATGGAGCAGATCATTCAGAGAACCGTCACATTATTCCTCATTCTAGCTGTGTGGCCAGCTCCATCTTCATGTTTATTGCCATATCTCGAGACAGATTGAGATCTCGCAAAGAAACAAGACTGTTCCTATTCTCTTACCCGAGCCCTAGCATTATATCTTTTTTTGTTGCAAATATTCTTTGCCATACCGGAACCAGGGGCTTTAGAATCTTGCAAAATTGCGGAGAGTTCATACCTTGACAGAAGTGATACCCAGCGATACCCCGTTCTAGCTTGTCACATTCGGACTTTGTTTCTCGGGTTGGAGTTACACCGGTGTTTGTGAGTTCGGAACAAGTGGGATCTGTTTTCTTTTTTTATATTGACTTTGGCATCACAAAATCGAGCTCTTGGCAGATATTCTTCCAACAGCAACCATCGTGCAATGAATATCCTTCTTAGCGCAGGACCTTTATCCACATTTCTTCTTTAGAGGAGATACTCAAATTCATATCAACTTCATCTCAGCTTCATCTCAGTCACTGAAATCACTGAAACCATTACTATATGCTCCTTCGGCTTATGATGCGCACCGGTTGTCCTCGTGCAGATCGAGGCTACTCTCTATCAGTGTCGGCGCATTGCATTCCAGCATGATACTAGATTCCTGTAATCACACCCGCGGGGGTATATAGGCAGTCGATCACACTATCATATTGTTGAGCATGTTCTTCTGCTCCTCTCAATTCCCATGATGCCAGTGTCAGTTGTGGTTCTCCAACGAGTCAACGTGATATACTAACCTATGGTAGATTTGCTTACGGGGGCTCATAAAATTAATTTCGACTTGTAGCTACAGAGAGCAAATGGGCGATCGCGTTGGACGATGTCTGTATCGTCACTTCAATAAACAGCCCTTTACCCGGTGAAAGCCCGACCATAAGGAGATGATTTTCCTTGATCTTTCTTGATAGCCGTAGCTTGTGTGGATTAACTCATATATGTACTTCCAATATACAGTGTACACAGGTAAGAATCCGGGGAGGTGGAGGCATCCCCGCGCCGACCGGAGACTTGCCGAGATCCTGTGCTTTTCCATTCTCCCCCTCTTCCCCGGATACTTCTCCTCTCTACCTCGAGGCCATCTCCTTTCGATATTACTCGCGAATTAATTCCCTGCCTCGGCTTGACTTGCCGATCTCGTTATGACAACCATTAGCGTTGCCATGCAATCTCCTCGGCCCGCGATCAAATTAAATGCAACAGCTTCAACAGAGCCCGTGTCTAACAAGAGGAAAGCATCAGATACATTAAAAGATGGTGTTGCCAACCGCCAGAAAATTACGAGAGCCTGTGACTTGTGCAAAGTAAAGAAAACCCGCTGTACCGGTACTCTACCATGTACAAGATGTACACGATTGTCACTGCCATGTAAATACAACGCCGCATACTCTCGGGGCCTACCACCAGACCCTCTTCCTGCATCACCGAGTCCGCTTTCGACTCCGACTGGGCGTCGTGTATTTGATGGTGTGGATGAGCTCAGGTCCAGCCCCAATTTACAAGGCAGTGGTCGGGACGCGACTGTTACCGACGATCTACTTTCAGCCCTAAACAAAAACAAAGACGAACACCGGCATGTGGTATCATCGCGGAATTCACCAGAGCCAGGATCAACGGACTTTGAGGGTAATTACCTCGGTCCTTCATCCGGTGTGTCGTTTATCAATCGTGTATGGAGCCGTCTGCATCAAGATAAAACGACGCACTATCCGGATGAACTCCAAAATGAGTCCTCGCGGAATACAGCCGTCTTTATGTTTGGTGATAAGCCTTACTCTAATCCCCAGGAGCCGGAGTTCACCCTCCCGTCTCTAGAAAAGGCACTGGAGCTGGTGAGGATTTACTTCGATTACTCTATGGTAACTTATCGGTTTGTGCACAGGGGCAATGTGGAAGAGTGGACTACACAGGTTTACCAAAATAACATCGGCCTCTCGAATCTCCCTGTGGGAAATATGGTTGCTCGGACTGCTATTGTTCTCATGATCATTGCTGTGAGTACTTTGTATGTGGAAATGAGGCCCGGGGGGATGGCTGGTGGACGGGGTGAAAGATTAGAAAGGTTAGTGATCTCTCGGTGTGGTTAGAAAAGGGGCTTAACTGGGAGATTACAGTGAGCGCTGGTATGCAGCATCGAAATACATGTCCTCTCTCGAGTCAGGGCCGCCGCGACTGGAAACTATCCAGGCCCGGCTGGGTCAATGTCTCTATCTGCTGTCATCGTCACGGGCCAACGAATGCTGGTACTCATTCGGCACGACAGTGCAGATTGTGACTGCACTCGGATTACACAGGAAGGGGCCAGTCAGAGTCTCGAATAACGGGTGCTCACATCTAGAATTGGAGCTCCGCAGGCGCATCTTCTGGAGTGTATACACTCTAGACAAATACCTAAGCATTATGTTCGGAAGACCTCGACTGCTCCACGACGAGGACATTGACCAAGAACTACCGGAAGAGACGAACGACGAAGATTTACTGGAAGAAGATCCGGCGCGAAGAACAGGATCAACGGATAGCATGATGATTGCCTCTGTTCTTCATTACCGGCGAGTCCCTCATACCTACCCTGTACTTGTTATACCCATATATACCTGGGAATCTAACACCAAACCCAGGCTTGGTCGTATTCTGGGCGATATATCACGTCAATTATACAGCATAAATACCCTCCCTCGAGACTCCCCTCTCGAGACCGCAATCCGCCTAACGTCCGAACTCGAAAAATGGAAAGAAAGCGTCCCACCCTTATTCAACAGTGTTCACCCAACCAGTTTAATCCCGCCCCTCTGCCGCCAAAGCCAAGTCCTCCAACTCGCCTACTCCCACGCCATGATCCACGTCACCCGCTCATTCCTCTTGAACGATTTCACAGACCTCAGCCGCAGACCGAAAGTCCCGCACCCGATGGTCAGCTCACACGTCCAGAAATGCATTCAGGCTGCCGAGGACATCATGACAATAACCGATGGTCTCGCGCATCAAGGTGTGCTGATCCAGTCCTTCTGGTTCACGCATTATGTGTGCTTCTGTGCAGTTTTGGTCATTTACATCCATACCATCCAACAGCACCGTAAGGCATTGGGCGGATCTAGTTCGGCCTCTGTCTCTTCGGTCGGAAGTCCCAATGACCGAGATAAAATGCGCCAGCTCTTTTCTCTCGCTGAGTCTTGTCAGCAACACCTTGCTGAGGCGACGCGCAAGAACTGTCCGAGTCGTCGCTACGGAATTATTCTGGAGGAGTTGAGACAGGAGGTTCATCGGCAGATTGGGTCCAATGGGGTCTTTGCTGAGACTCGGACCCATTCTTCTAACGTAAATGACACTCTCTATGTCTCGGGAGAGAGTTCACAGAATGCGGATGTAAAATCCGTTCTCTATGACACCCAGGCGGCTGATTTCATGATGCCCCCAGCCGATTTGGTGATGAATGCGGGAGACGATGCAGGCTTACTTGAGAGCCTCGAGGGATCGATCTGGTGGGCTCAACTTGACTCATGGGTATGTATTATGCTTTTCTTGACGAGTACAAGTACGACATGTCGCTTTCTTATGCACACCTTGTGTTGACACTTTGTTCTAGGCCCTGTCTAATCTCCCTAATGACCCTTCTACATTTAACTTTTAAGCACAGGATGCATGCAGCTTACGAGTCACAAAGCCAAATCGCGTTCAATTGCAGATATCCCGCTACGGTTCCACATTCTGGCCATTCTTCCCTCAGCACGTTATCCAGTCATAAATTTTGATTCAGTGGCACTCAAACCTGCATGAGACCACCGCGGTGAATGTTATCCAAGTAATCATCGAATCTCGCAGACACCTCAATCACATCTTTGAGGTGATGATACCTGAGAACCTCCCTTTTCCATTTCGCGTACTGGCGAGCAGTGGTAATGGCATTCCGAATTTGTCGACCATTCAACTTCTCTTTTTGAAGCACATCCAAGCTCCCCATAAGGTTTTCATCAACAGCCTCTTCATCAAACCCATCCAGGCGCTTGATAAAAGTTTGCCAAATGGATCGTCTCTGCTCCTCGCCCAGGGGGGGATAGTGCAGTGCCAGCTGGATGCGCGACTTGAATGCCTCATCGAAGGTGCCTACGCGGTTGGTGGTAAGGATCAGGATTCCTTCGAAATACTCCACCACGCGTAGGAATGCCGATACGAGCGCGTTCCGGTTCAGATCTTCCAGACCGCGCTGCTCGAGGAAAACATCTGCTTCATCGAGCAGGACTACGCAGTTCCAGATCTTGCCCAGGTGTAGCACAGACTCGAGATACTTCTCCACCTCTTCTGGCTTGATGCCGACGTCACCGCATGTGACTCTATAGAGAGGCCTCTCGGCTATTTCAGCCACACTCTCTGCAGTCAGTGTTTTCCCTGTTCCTGGTCCACCGTGTAGAAGCAAGATAAGTCCATTGCCTTTGCCAGCGATCACATCGGCGGAATACTTGGGTTCGACGTGGTTGGTCACCAGTGCTTCAATGAGGTCTCTGGATTTAGAGTCGATGGCTAGACTCTCGAAGGCGTCTTTGTTCCACTCGACATGTGAGATACGGTCGACTAAGAGATCGAACCATTTCTTGCGCCGGAGGTTGAAGCCAGTCACCCTCGGAGGCATCAACATGCTGAACGGCTCTTGTGGGGGTTTTTCTCTGGCCATGACTCGGTCATCAAGTGTCTTTCTGCGTGGGCCGTTGTTCAAATACCCGTCCGATACTGGATGTAGTCTGTTGTATGTCTTCATGTCAATGATGTATCGGTCATTGGCCTAGAAGCAATGGTTAGTTCGGTTCATCATTACAGGTTGACAATAAGCACATACCATGGTCTGGAAATTCTCTTCCTCGGTCGCCTGATAGGACACATACTTCTGTGTGCGGAATGTCCAGAAAATCTCCCCACGGCGTCGAAGTTTCCGGACGAGATAGTCAGGGGCATACTTTATTGGGAATACCTCAAGGTCCGTGATAGCATACTCTTTGTCTGAGTCACTGTCTGGTAGAGGAAGGCTAGAACCATGCGACAAATAATCCACTTTAGACGATGACGACATCTCCGTGGCATGTTGTGACTTTGGCATCTCAAAACTGAGCCTAGTCCGAGTTTTATAAAACTCGCCATCGAAGTCCCAGGTCTGAACACTGATCCACCAACAAGGATTGTTGCCATGGGTTTCTATACTTCGACATGGCCAATTCTTGGCTAAATAACCTATGTGCTCTTTGTTTTTGTTCGAAACCAGGACTTCATTGGGCTTGAACAGATATTGCACATATTCTGGGCGAATTCTGCCTTTCTCCAAAAGCAGGTCTGCTGCGGTGTACTCATTGCCGCAAGTCTCTTGGACATAATCCATGAAGAGGTCGAATTGTCTTTGCGCTTCAGAGCTCAGGCCTTGTCTGATTTCCGATTCCCCAGCGCCCCGGCTATGGTAGACGAAGAGATAAGGCGACTGGACCTCTCCTGTGTCCCGGTAGGCGTTGTTCATGGATCGAAACTCTTTGCCCCCGAGGAAATCTGCGATCACGCCTTTGAGATCTTCAGAAACGGGGAGGATGGACTCGCTGAATGGTTCTGGCTTTCCATACTTTGTGTTCGGTGACTGTGGCTCGGCTCTTCTTTTGTAGTTTCGGAAGACTACAAAAGATATGTCTCTGTTGAGAGCGAGGTACAACTCGAAGTTGGTCAGCGGATCATTGCATCGCAGGTATGGCGCACCCATGTTTCGATGAATGAGCTCAGGGGGGTCGGTGTAAATCCCCATCCATGGAGACCTGGACGGAGACCTGTGAGGCCAGGGCCTAGGAGGCCTGGGGCTGAATTCATCATCACTATCCTCCATGCTGTGATTTTCACTCGGATAGGTGCCGTCTTTCTCAATCCGATAAAGGATCTGATACTTTGAGGCTGTAGGCATAACAGGTTTTCCTTCCAGCTCCCGGACCTTGTCTCGAAGTGATGCAATTTGGGCTTTGAGGTCATTGGCCTCTGATACAGAGACACTTCCTTGGCTGGGAGGAGTGTACATGTCTGATCGACCGGTGTTTAAGTACTGCGGATTCATATCGTATGAGTCCACAGACGGTGGACTCGGAATCCGTTGCCTTGCAGGAGCGGGAGGGGCATAGGTATCATACACCGGGGCTTGAGGATATTGATAAGCAACAGGACCCGGCGGAAAGGGGCCTGGCATGTTTTGGTTGTTGGCCACCGACGCCCCGAAATAAGAGGTAGGAATATTAGGCTCGAGTGGTCTTTGGTATGCGCTGCCCTGGGACGCAGCCAACTGGTTTCGTCGGGCGACGTTCTGCTGTTTGAATGAGTAATCCTGGTTGTTGTGATGTTCTTGCTTTGTGATGGGATTCGGAATATAAAACGTGCCGTCAAGAGGGGGGGAGCTCTCCCTCCAAGGGAAGCAGGAACCGGTTGCTCTTGTGAGGCGTCTTTGCCGCTCAGATCTTCGGAGATGGTGTTGGTCATGTACAGCTCGTCACGAGGGCGAGCTGAGGTAGAATGAGAATACATCCTCTATCAACAGAGATGCTCCAAAATAAACCAAATGGACCGTTCTACTACCGAAAAAGAGTGGGAAACAAGGCAATAAATAGGCAATGGGGAATACGAGGTTTTGATTCCAACCACCCCCGCGTGTTGAGCCTCTTGATTGTCATGTGGTGTGGCTGTGTGTTCAAATTGGGCTTATATTTTTCATGCATAGATACCTATCTCATTAATGCTGATGTCTTCCAGATCATCATGTATCAGATTCATCAGGTTCATCAGGTCCGACAGAAAATCCCGGTGGCGCTTACCCTTTTACGTAGTTGCCAGCCCTGACATGGCTACTACAAACACCTAAGCTGCATGCTTCATGCTTCATGCTTCATACATCTACTCAATATATTGTTAAGCCCAACAGATGTTTAATTCAACACTCATTGACTCTGAGAGGTAAACATGACAGCCTCCAGTAAAAAAGATACACGACGAAGTCTTTTCAATCTCTGGATCCCAACTAAAGTCGTCGTCTCTGAAAAGCCAGACACATCTCCAACTGATTCTGGGACGATAGAAAGTCCGGCATCAGAGCCAATTAGCCCAAGGGCGGGAAAGGATCGGCTTAGGGTTCGTTTAACTCGCAGTGGCTCCAAGATTCTACTGTTACTGGGTTTACAAGGTTCATCCAAGAGTGAGTGGTAGTCTTTTTCTTTCTATACCTGACCATTCACTGATTCTGCATCTCAGGCAACAAAGGGTTCAGCGCCGACACGGATTGCTGTGATTCCGTACAGGCCGGCGACAAAAGCCCAGATCCCTCAAACTCATCTTCCCCAAGTGGTAACGGCGATGATAGCCCAGGATATCTGACTGCAGTCGAGTCCCCTCAAAGTGAACCAATACCTGTCACTCCTTCACTCAGCATCCCCACCGAAGGGATTGAAACTTTGTCTGAGCCCCTTCCCGACCTACGACCGTCACCCGAGAGTCAGGGTGAATTGGCCGGTGAACTGGCTGTTGTCGACGACGTGCAGAAACATGCCACAAATGAGGGCCTTCTGCCGACTACTGTCACCAAGCAACCAAGTCCAACAAATTCAAAATTTGTCGATCGCTTCTCGCATAAGATCTCGCTAGCGTTTGGCCAGGCCACTGTCATACGCCGTGTACATCTTCGGTCAAGACCGAGTGTTCTTCGCGTCAGTTCTCCAGTACTAGATAATCTGAGCGGACAGGATGACGGTGCCAATGATAGCTCAGAACCATCAACCAGCCCCAGTAGTGGTAGGTCTCCTGCTGGCGGACAGTCAACTTCACTGACTCCGCTCACGTCCGGGGGGGCGTCCCCTTCCTCGGATAAAGACAAGTTGCACGATGAACACGAAACTGCAGTGGTGCATTGGCCCTCTCTCTCTGAGATCAATGAGGCTGCCAACGCTTCGGGCACAAATTCAATTGCGATAACACCGTCAATCAAAACCGTGGAAGCGACATCAGTGGCAAAAGTTTACTTGGAACTGTACTTCAACTCCATTTTCCAAAACAAAGATCCCCGGCAGCAACGTCAGCTCAAATTAGAGCATCATATCTATGCGTTTGAGCTCACGCCCGAAGAGCGCTTGATGACAAGGCACAACTGGGTCTTGGGAGAGAACGATTATCTTCGACAGTGCCGTGTGCTTAAATCAAATCGATACTGCACTCAAAGCGAAAGCATCATGTCTGTTGCAGGGTACAAAGCCATAAAGGTACTCGGGAAAGGAAGTTTTGGTGTTGTGCGTCTTGTTCGACCCAGTGGCTGTGATTCGAAGAGTTCCCATAAGGATGACCCGTTAGCTCTCAAAGACAACGGTGTCCATCCCAGACCGAATCCTCTTGGAGCTCTGATGTCTGCTGTGGAAGGTGCTAAACAAAGCCGTCGAAGGTATATGACCGGCGAAAAGAAGGAGGTATATGCCATGAAAGTCATCAAAAAGTCAGAAATGATCCGCAACTCCCAGGAAGGCCATATTCGAGCGGAAAGAGATTTTCTCGTTGCCTCTGAAAGCTCTCGATGGGTTGTTCCTTTGCTCGCCAGCTTCCAAGATGCCAACAATTTATATCTTGTGATGGATTACATGGTTGGTGGTGACTTCTTGGGGTTACTGATCCGCAAAGACACACTCCGCGAGGACTGGACACGATTTTACATTGCCGAAATGATATTGTGCATTGAGGAGGCACATCGACTTTGCTGGATTCATCGCGATGTCAAGCCTGATAACTTCCTCATCTCTGCTTCGGGCCATTTGAAAATTTCCGACTTTGGACTTGCTTTTGATGGGCATTGGTCGCATGATCAAGCTTATTATAACAGCCATCGCTACTGTTTACTGGAGAAACTTGGAATTGACGTCAAAGGTGATTCCGAAGACCAAAAAGAGGTTGCCGAAGCGAAAGAGCTCGCGCCTGAGATAAAATTGCACAGTCTGGATGACTATACACTTCAGCAACAATCCTCGACGAGTTTATTGGATTGGAGGAACAGCAAGGGGCGACGCAGATTTGCAAAAAGTGTTGTTGGAACCAGTCAATACATGGCACCTGAGGTCATTCGCGGTGAAATGTATGACGGACGATGCGACTGGTGGAGCTTGGGTATCATTCTATACGAGGTAGGTCGCTCGACATTTTCGTTATGTGTATCAAGTTCTCATGGCGTTTCCAGTGTCTATATGGTTTCACGCCCTTTGCCTGTGAAAATCGCCACGATACAAAGATCAAAATCCTCGTGAGTGTCTTCTTTGCTCCCTTATTCTGGCGAACATTTCATTCTAAAATCTCTCAAGCAACACACAAGAGCTCTGCGATTTCCGCGGGAGAAATCCACGGACAAGTTAGTCTCTCAAGAGGCCATTGATCTGATTACCAGGATTCTCCAAGAGCGCGAATATCGCCTGTGTTCTCCGAAGTACCAAGCCAATAATATACTAAATAGACGTCCCGTGTCAACTCAAATGCTGTACTCCATGGAGGCCCGGTACAGAAATATCGCGAGCTACTACGTTTACCCCAACGATGCAGCGGACATCAAGATTCATCCTTTTTTCCGAGGTATCCGATGGCAAGATCTTCATATGTGCCAACCACCAGTGATTCCTAGGGTCAGGAACTGGGAGGACACTAGATATTTCGACGACTGGAAGTTGGCTGGTGATGATGCCGAGCATACTACTGGTAGTGGCTCGGAGGATGGTGACCAAGAGCCTGACGAGATTACCCCTGAGAATCGAGAAATCAGTCCAACGAAGGACACTGTTGAGCCGCCAGTTGCTGAGGCTACCCCACGCGCAGCACAGGAGCAAGCAAAAGATGCCGAAAAGAAAAAGGAGAAGAAGCGGCCCCGCGACAAAATCCTTCGGGACAAACAGATGAGCAAGAGAGTCTTGGACATTCGCAAAAAGGGCGCTTTTCTGGGGTATACATACCGGCGACCCAACGACGTTGCTTTGGCTTTCAGCACAGAGCGAGGCCGTCAACCTTATACCAGAGGCCAATTGGCTGGCCTGTACACATCGTGACTACACAGAGAAAAGCCATCCACGGGTGAACTGGGAGGTTTCCTCGTTAGTCGACTACAAACAAACCTGTTGGCTATTGCTACATTTCCATTCACGCGACACACCACCATCCTTTCACTGGGTCAAGCATATCCATATAACCCTCTTTTCATTCTGTATAGCGCCTCATTCCCTCATAGGTGACTATTCATCGTCCTTGGAACTACAATGTTCGCTCCACTCTCCCTTTTATGTATCCTTAGTAAAGAATATATCATTATGGATAGAAGATGTTAGCTTACTGTGCACAAAAGGTATCGTCAGGTTGAATACATCCTATTTCCTATGATACTTCATCGAAGATGAACGAAGCGAAACACCCAACAAAAAGGGAAACAACGATCGGAAATTCATACACACAGCAAGGAGAAAGTGCCTATGTATAGTCTCAAATCACATCTGGTAGGCAAGAAACAGGGTATCGGAGAGCAAATTTATGACAGAGAAGCTTTTAAGGGGGTATCAAGTTCGGAGTAGATGGATAGGAAGGGAGAAATGATTAAGGAGGTGCATAAGTGGGAAAAAGCGAACTGTGCTCACAGAACAGGCGCACTCATGGAGAAAGCCGAATCCGTGACACGATCCTCGGGCTTCATAGTACCATTGAGCAGCGGACAGAGCTTCTTATTTGTTTTGATGTGCCCAACCTGGCCACAATTGGCACACTTGCGCTGAGTACCAGCAGGCTTGCCGTCTGGATCGCCAGAACGAGGGATACCCTTCTGCTTCTCGCGGGCAAAACGACGCTCTTTGTTGCGGTTGAGACGGCCGAGCTCGGCCTCGATCAACTTCCTATTGCGGGCATCGACTTCTGGATCGCCCGTGGGCTGGAGAGATTCCAGCTTTGTGTGCATGGCTTCGTTGTGGTGACGGTGTTGGATGTAGTGTCTGATCACTCGGGGATCGAAAACATGTTGCTCCTGCTCCACAATTTCGCCGTTTTCCAGCTTGACCTGGCGGGTGATGCGCAATACTTTGCCGCGCTGGCTGTTGAAACTCATTTTGCTGAACTGACTTGTTGTCTCATCGTCACGACGATATGGTCCAGGTGTAGGTGCCTCGGATCGGGGTGTTGGTTTGTTGAATTGATCTTGGTATTCGTCTTCTTGGTCCACGTCGCTTTCCTGGTCGGAATGCTCGATGGTGGAGGACAAGCTGCTTTTTTGAGCATCCCAGATCCGACGAATGGATGTCTCATATGATTTTTGCTGACGGGCAACATTGTAGCTGTGACCTCCAAGCTCCTTAAGTCGCTGCGCGTCCAGCTTATCCTCAACACTTTCACCGATAGCCTTGAACCCACCCTTCATGCTTGTTTTGATGAAGTTATAGCCCTCACCACGGCCAGTGGGGTCTCCTTCACCATGAAGCTTCAACATGGCCTTGCCTTGGGAGGCCAACAAAAAGTTTCGGGTTGCCTTCCAGGGAGCCATCTGCTGCTCGAAACTCTCGAATTCTTCGTCTTCTTCGTTTTCGCCGCCAGTCTCGGCATCGTTGCCATAACCGGTATCGTGGAGATGCTGCTGTCCAATCTGCATGGATTCTAGAAGACAAACATCTTCGGGCTGAACCCACGAGCGAATTGTATCTTGGTCAGGGAGAACTGGATCCAGTGGCTTCCAATATTTAGTATCTTTGTCGTGCTGAAGGAAATCCTTGACCTTCTGTCGGTTCTGCATATCCGTAGTGTTTGGTATGTGAGCTGTAACATCGCTGATCGCGAGTCGCTCATCCGGGCTCTTCTTCAACAAACGATACACCAGCATCTTCATGCGATTCTTGGCGACAGTTGTCACCTTGCGGGAATGCGGTCCAGGGATGTCAACCGATGGGAATTGCTGTCCGGCGACGTAGAAATTTTCGATATTCCGCAAATAATAGGCACTTCCATCGGATCCAGTGGTGCTGCGCACCACGAGGAAGTCCGTGGATTTGGGCTGGTGCGGGAATAGCGGTGCTCGGTACATGGAGTTTGAGATTGCGGGGGAAATTTCGCCGGGGTCAACATGGCCAAAGATTGAGTAGGGGCTCTTGTCTTGGGGTAAGAGAACAACTGTTTCGCCAATATCTGCCCTTGGGCGAGTGGGATCATCGATATTCTTTCGCCGGTAATAATTGATGAAGCGGTTGCACATTCCAAAGTTGGCTAGCGTCATGGGCAGCTCCTCGGAATACTCCACCAGCAAGACATTGGAGTTGTCTCCCATGGACAATGACTTTGTAGAATCATAAACAGTTTTCGCATCTTTGCCACGCAAGTGCTTGCGTCTTAATTGAACGGGGTTCTTGAACCAAGACGTTTGTCCAGGCCGGAAGGCCATAGCAGGTCGGTGGAAAGATCTAGCTTCAGCCTTGGCTAACTCAGTCTTGTAGTAGGGCCACTGCAAACGCAGGGCGGGCAGACCGTGCTCAAGTGTCACGTTGCCAAGAGTACTGCGGATCTTGTTCTGATGATTCTGTTTGAGCATATCGTATGCTTGATCATTCGAAATGTTGTAACGCTGGGTGAGACGGCGCGTTAGATTCAGGTCCACTTCATCCCTGGTGCGAGGAGCGGCGTGTTTCGGCTTATTTGCGACAGCATCCGCTCTTAATTCGTCGACAAGAATGTTCGGATCATTGAGATCAATTGTGACTCTCTTTGCAATTTTCATTGTCGCTTGTTCCGGATCATCCAATAGAGGAATATCAATATGTGATAGAGCAATGACATCCATCGGAGTCGGACCGGTCTTTCGTTTCTTATTGGGAAGCTCAGTTTCCATGAGCCAATCTGCTTCATCATCATCAAGGATTCCATCTTTTCTTTGTGCCAATGGCTTCTCTTCCGAGTCAATGCTGGAGACATCATCCTTAACATCCCAGTCCACACAGATCGTTCGAAGGTCCTGCATGGTGAAGCCACCCGGCAGGACTTCATCTCCATCCACATCATCCAGGTCCATATCATCCTTTGTATCCTCATCCGCCTCTTCTCCCTCCTCTTCGCGGTCCGATTGTGTGATCATCACCAAGCCATGAGTTTCGTGATCGAGGCCACGCTTGAGGGGTTGACCGGTTCTGAATGCACGCTCATGATCAGGCGCCAGCTCAATATTCACTTTCGTGGGTAAGACAGGCTTAGGCGGTTTGGTGGGCTGTTTTCCAATGAAGATGGCCTTCTTATGGGGAATCAACTCGAGCCAACGTGGAAGAGTGTTGCGGTCGAACGAGGGAAACAAGGAATGCAAAAGCTCTTCGTGGTTCTCAGGCGGTGCAGGTGGGTTTTCAACGCCTGACATGGCGAACAACTGCTGCTGAAGTTTCCATGCGCGGAGTTCGACGGGATTCATGTCTTCCGACATGATACTGTCATCATCTGGGAATTCATCTTCCTCCATCATAGGTGGCTCTGGCTGCGGTTCCGGGGCAGACGGGATGGGTGGTAGGTCAACGGGCGCATCTGCTAAGGGCATTTCTTCGTCTTCGAAAAGACCACGGGTAGTATCATCCTGTCCAGCAGGAGGCGGCGAAAAAGAACCTTCGCCAAAAAGATCATCGAGATTGTCATCCTGGGCCTGAGCCCCCTCTACCTGGTCACCGAAGAGATCGTCACCATTTCCGAAAAGAGCGGCATCGTCTGAGCCCAGATTCGCAAAAGGATCCTGATTGTCATCTACCGCAGGCAGGGGTGGGGCTGGGCGTCCGACGACCTCTTCTTCCGGAAGTTCATCGTCTTCAAAATCCTCGTAGTCGACCGCATCGTCGGCTTTTTCGCCGACTTCCAAGTCACGCGACAAGAAATCTAAAGAGGGGCCAGTATCCTCGTAGCTGTTCAGTTGTCGCATCACATCATCGAAATCGGCATCGTCTTCGCCCTCCGGGGCCTTCGGCGTTGCGTGAGGCATGATGGGCAAGTACGCTTGTGTTGAAGGTGAGAGAAGTGTTGTAAGTGAAGAAAGCGTTACATTCAACAAGTTGGTGAGAGAAACCGTAGGTTAAGAATGTAGGCGCGAGCCAGGCAAGGCAACGACGCGATTCAGAATATGCACATCTGGGTATTTTGTGAGTCTGCAATTTTGACGCAAGTTTTGCCGTGGCTCTAGTCACACAGGAGACAGGAGACGAGGAGGGGCGTGTCGGACAGGTGGTCGAAGAGAGAAAACCGGCGTCCAGGATAATGCGCAAGGGCCGGGTCCACGCTAACCCGATAAGGCAATCAGCTAGATGCCTGAAATTCAATACTTCAATGGGCTCAATAGGATCTTTTCGAAAACAATGAACAAAAGATAATAAACACATTTGGAAGTAAAAATACATTTCATGGCATTATTGTCAGATTAACAGCAACCATAAGTCATGACACATTGAAATCTCCATAGAAAATACACAACGCCTTGCTTGCACCCTCCATGCAATAGTGCATTACAGTAGCCTTGTCACCGTCAGGAACCAGCTTTGCAATTTGTTTTAAATCGGAGGTTCTTGGGATGTAAAGGACCATGTGCTTGCTGAATTCTGAGTATTCATCATACAATCTTTGGAGGGAATATGGCTCCATGGTCTTCAGGTTGAATACCTGATCTGAACGATATCCCGGGCCTGTTATATTTAGTTCATGCCACAGAAGCAAAGATTCGGTGGGACTTACCTCCCCAGGGAGGGCTGGCAAAGACAACACTGTATGGCGCCAGTTCTTTAAGTTGATTCTTGAGAATCTCGAAACAATCGCCTTCGAACCAAGTGATCTTGTCCTCCACCCCATAGATTTTCGCATTGTGTTTTGCGCACTTAAGCACGGCAGGATTTTTTTCAATCGCGTAGATTCGTTTCCACTTTCCGGTCAGGGCAAATGCAATGGTGTTTCCGCCTGCGCCAGCGAAGGCATCCACGAGAACCTTGCGCCCAGCAGGCGCTGATTCGGCAATCTGCGAGGCTATTACGCTGAATTATGGTTAGCAGAACGTCTGGCATAATAGGAAAAGAATCACGAACTTGGCGACTGGTTCTGGTGTGACGCCAAACCAAGCATCATCGGTCAACCATACACCATCGTCGTACTTGGAAAAGATCCGGTAGCGTTGTGCCCAGTAGCTGGTAATTGGGTTAGCATTGGTATTTTTTTCAATGACAATGGAACTTACTTCTGGATGTCCCAGGGAACTTCGTGCAAACTGCTGTAGTGATGCACCTCTGGAGGCGCGTCTTCGTCGGCCATGATACAATGCAGCGATAAAGCGAGTTGATCGATCCATTCTCGATAACTGATAAAGATGCGTGGTGTTTGCATGGTTTGCACCTACCTATCTGGCCAGCTCGCACGAGGTAAACACGACCACAGCTTCCCCATTTCAGCCTCATTTGATCACCTCTCGCAATCTTAATTATAGCGAGGAATTATGTTCGGCGCATTAAATCGCTTCATCGGCCGGCTAGACGGGGAGCCTGGCCAACAGCCTCGCAACGGCCCCAGTGACAACGCATTCGGTTTCCAGGTCCTCCGCAACAAAGACCCAGAACTACCTCTAGAGCCATGGTTTGACTTTATCGTGGGCATTAACGGTCATACAATTGTGAGTATAGAGGATCATTTTACTTCTTGAAGTTATAGCTTCGCTCACACCGACATACAGGAAGATCCGGACCCAAACCTGTTTGCGACAGAATGCCGAAATTGCGCTGGGGGAAGCTTGACACTTGAAGTTTGGAGTGCGAAGGTAAGGGTGGTAAGATGGTACCGCTAGATTCAAGCTAAATTTATATTCTATCAGGGTCAACGAACACACACAGTCACTCATCCTATACCGCCAACGAACCCCTCCCTCGGCCTCACGCTGCAGCTTGCCCCCCTCTCTTCTACGCAAAACATCTGGCATGTTATTGCAATTCCATCGCCGCTCAGCCCCGCATACCAAGCCGGTTTGCTTCCTTACTCGGACTATATCATTGGAACCCCCAGCGGGACGTTAAGAGGGGAGTCGGCACTCGGGGAGTTGGTTGAAGATCATCTAAATCGCACACTGGTTCTGTGGGTTTACAATAGCGAATTTGATGTGGTTCGTGAGGTCGAGCTCGTCCCTACGAGGGGCTGGGGTGGCGAAGGCGCCCTTGGTGCAGAGTTAGGATACGGGGCTCTTCACCGACTACCCATTGGGCTTGGAGAAGAGGTCGAGGGACCAGGGGAGGTTGTATTCGAGACACGCGAAGATGGCACTGCTGCCCCGGTGGGTGGCCCTACAAGCGCTATCCCGGGAATGACAGCTCCGTCGGGTAACTTCCTAGTCCCAGCAAATATCGTAGCGCCGCCACCCCTAGCCTCCGCTCAAGCAAGAGGTGCATCGCCGTTACAGAGCAGATCCCCCGTCGGCCGTCGAGCAGGGAAATCACGGCCAGTGGTATCGCCCAACAGAGCCTTTGATGATTACTTTGCCGAGGGTGAAGAGAAAAGTCGCGAGCAAGACTATGCGCCGTCACGGCATGGTACTCCTCTGCCTCCGCCGCCGAAGATGGGAGGCCCGCACCCTCACTCGCCTGCGCCGGAAGGATCACCAGGACCTGCGGAGGAAGAATAAATGAATGGCTTAGAGAAATCAGAAATTAGTTTAATGTAGAGTATGACGAAATCAAATTATGTCGATCATCGCAAGCTACCTGTTCCCATTTGCAAGCGTACGCTCATAGGTGCTCTTGTCAGGTCACCTACTTTATGACTGAACGATTCAAACAAAAGGAATCAATCCGGTTATGTCTTCGGATCTACGAGTTCTAAGCGTACATATGCAACAAATAAATCCGCTCTATAGCCCCAAACAACTGGGCTATATTTAGTGGCCCTTGCTCACCAGCTCTTCCAACTTCTTCCGGGTGTCACCGATCTTCTCCTCCATCATCTGGCGCGCCATTCCGCTGTGTGCAATGCCGGTGTACCAGATGTGCTCCGCACGCTCACGGACAGCCAAGTGCTTCTCCGCAACGGCAGGGACCTTCTTCTCGTACTCCCAAACCAAGTCTCCGACATTCCGCATCGTCACGGGCAGGAGGGTGTAGGCCGCAGCAGTGCCAAAAGCGAGCGGCGATGCAGTGCGGAGGAAGATGCCACGGTTACGCGAGACAATCGAACCGGCCATGGCGGTCACGACGACGTAGACACCGCCGGGCAGGAGACGCTCGCCGGACTCGGCAGAAGGTGCGAGCGAGGCAACGGTGTTGGTGAAGCAGTTTTCGATGTTGAGGGCCCGAGACAGGAAGTTGTTGAAGCCCTGCTCTACGGCAAGGGAGTGTGAGTAGAGGAAGAGGCGAGCTTGTCGGACCTGAGCGGTCAGGATATCTGTCGGGGTGGGCGATGAGGAAGCGGGTTGCGCAGCTGGCGCGGAGATCAGCTTCGGGGCGGCAGGCGCAGCAATCTGAGAGGGTTTGGAGGGTTCAGGAATGTCGGCTGGGAAGTCATCGTAGATAGGTTTCCGCTATATTAAGGAAGCAGTCGTGTGTCAGACCAATTCTTTCAGACATCCAATAGAGCCAGGGATAGAGCTAGGAACAGAGCTGGTCATACATTGTCTCGGGGCTCTTCTGCGAATGCGGTCTTCTTAGGGAACAAAGCAATACCTCCCGCGAGGAGAGTGGCTGCGATCGGAGCCACAGCCCGCTGGGCACAAGTCAGCATAGGAAACATGATATTGGGGGATCAATTGCATCCAACTTGAGAGCAGGCAATTATAAAAAGGCATACCTGTTGCAACATCGGCCGGAATGACATCCTGAGGGAGTGGGGAAGACGAGAAGGGGGAGGAGCTGGTAGTGAGGATGAAGCAAAGTCGTGTTGGAGCAGGACGGGAATTCTTCGGCTCGGCGGAACCTCCAGAAAACTCCGCCATTGCCCGTTCTCCTTGACTCTATGTTTCTTTCAATGAAGGATTTGTGAATTTACAATTTCCGATGGTTTTAATCTGCTTTTAATACGGTATCTACAATGCTTCGCCCTTTGCGACGAACATGGACATGTCGGAAATGTCTACATCTACGGCCCCAATCTCGCGCCTTCGAGAGCGCCGCATCTTCTCCGTCAAAGCCGTTTGAGTACATTCCAGCAGATAACAGTGCACCAAGGAAGAAGACCGATGACCACACTCTACGCCGCGTTTTTGATTCACAGCCATTTTGGAATGAGTTCTCCCAGCTGCGCACCACCACAGTCCCAAGGCAAGCTGGATTGGTCCAAAACCAATACCTAACAAGCCCCGAGGGCTTTAGGACATTCGCAAATGTCTCGCTACAGAGATGCCAGGCTATTGTAGCCAAGGTGCTTGCCGCCTCCACTGTTGAAGAATACAGGGCCCTAGCACGAGACCTTGACCAGCTGAGCGATCTCCTGTGTCGTGTCATCGATCTATCCGATTTCATTCGAACCATTCACCCCGATCCGCGGATACAAGAAGCAGCCACGCAGGCGTGGGCTCTCATGTTTGAATATATGAACGTTTTGAACACAACTACAGGGCTTCATGAACAGCTCAATAAGGCCTTGAACAACCCCGACGTGACATCATACTGGACCGAGGCAGAACGGATCGTGGCACAGATCCTCAACAAAGATTTCTCGAACTCTGCAATTCACATGCCACCCAATGTCAGGCAGCGGTTTGTAAATCTCTCGAATGATGTGAGCCAGTTAGGTTCCGATTTCATGAATGGCGCGGAGCCTGCAAGATCCCAAGTGGTCTTTGGTGCCAACAGCCTCCAAGGATTGGATCCTATGGTTATCTCCAAAATCAAGCGGTGGAATAAGAAGGCGCCAGTTCCGACGATGGGAATTGTCCCTCGACTTGCTCTGCGCTCAGTGCATGATGAAGATGTTCGCAAAGACATCTATCTTGCCACTCGGACATCTAGCAAGCGCCAAATTCAAAGATTGGAGGAACTTCTAGTGAAGAGGTCAGAGTTGGCACAACTTACGGGCTACAATAGCTTTGCGCACATGACTCTCGGCGACAAAATGGCCAAGACACCTGAAGCAGTATCGAACTTCTTGACTTCGCTTGTGTCCAGCAACCAAGGTCCAGTCCGGGAAGAACTATCTAAGCTGCAGAGCTTGAAGGGAGGCTCCTCCCTGCGGCCCTGGGACCACGCATACTACGTTCACAAGCGCGTTCTAGAGTATTCCCAAGCTCGTCGCTCTCGTCACATGGGTGTTATCAATGAGTTCTTTTCTTTGGGAACCGTGATGCAAGGTCTCTCTCGACTCTTTGACCGTTTGTATGGTGTGCGTCTAGTCCCCCATGAAGCATCTCCCGGCGAGACTTGGCATCCAGACGTCCGTCGATTGGATGTAGTGGACGAGTCGGAGAACCATATTGCAGTCGTCTACTGTGACTTGTTTACACGGCCGAGCAAGCACCCAAATCCGGCTCACTTTACTCTGCGCTGCTCACGCGAAATCTCCGCAGAGGAGATCGCCGAGTGTGCCTCTATGAACCAATCTGCGCACCCGAATGATGGCATGGCCACCGGTGTAGATCCGGTAACTAACACCCTGCGCCAACTCCCAACCATTGCTCTCGTGTGTGATTTCCAGGAACCTCAGGCAAATGGCACCGGCCAGCCCACTCTCTTGAGTGAGCAGAGTGTTCGCACCTTATTCCACGAGATGGGCCACGCTGTCCACTCCATCCTGGGCCAAACGCCTCTACAGTCCATCTCCGGTACTCGGTGCGCCACAGACTTCGCCGAACTTCCCTCCGTATTGATGGAGAGCTTTGCGACTGCGCCCGAGGTGCTACGCCTCTACGCGCGACACTGGAAGACCGACGAGCCTCTGTCTGAAAGCATGATGCAGAGCATGGAGCTCGACCGCACTGCGCATGGATCTATCTACGGTGCCGTTGAGAATGAAGCACAGATCCTCATGGCGCTCGTTGATCAGGCATATCACTCGATCCCAGCTGAAGTCAGCGCAGCTGGCATTGATTCCACCGATATATATCATCGAGTCTTTTCTGAGTATTCCAGTCTGCCAGACCCGAACAATGTCCAGCCACGTACCTCTTGGCAGGGCTTCTTCGGCCACTTGTATGGCTACGGTGCCACGTACTATAGCTATATCTTTGACCGCGCCATCGCGAATAAACTCTGGCAGGACGTCTTCCAGTCTGGCCAGGCGGCAACTGATCGTGCCGCCGGTGAGCGATACAAGAATGAAGTCCTCCGCTGGGGTGGTGGCCGCAATGGCTGGCAATGTGTGGCTGGTGTCCTGGGAAGCAGCAACCCCTCTAACACGAACGGACGGTTAGCTGAAGGTGGCGATGAGGCCATGCGTGAGGTTGGTCGCTGGGGCCTTGGGCGTGAAGGCATGTCTGGATAATGTGACACGAGTGTACTTTTATTGCCTTGGATACATCTATATCTACCTTACATAGCTTTGTAAATAACCATAAGTTCACGAGATGATTTGATCTTGCTTTTCAATTAGACTCTCAAGGCTTGAACTGCTCATTCAACGTGGACAAATAATTATATCGAATACGTTCAGCCGCACGGGCATCACCACATGCTTACATGTAGACCATAACTATCCAATAGGAGCCTAGTTAAGCAATCCAGTGATCTCCGGTGTACATTGGATGCAATGTCCGAGACAAGAGTTAACACAGAAAGTCCGCAGCATACTCTTCATACTGCTGCATAAAATCCTCCACACTGAAAGCATCATTGAGCCGCTTGTCCAACAGGATAACATTTCCTACCTCAATGTAGCCCTTCTTAAATGCTGCAAACAGTTCAGGGTCGTTTGAGAGGTGCGGAATAAAACTTTGATTATCACCCATTACCATTGCGCCCTTGAACGCCTGGTAAACTGTTTGAGGATTCTCGCTTAGGTCAACCGACTCGCACTGACCGAAGTCCAGGAGGAAAAGTCCAATCGCACGTCGTTGGAAGTCCGGTCTTAACTGACCTTTACGCATCTCCAAGGCGAATGTCCCAAATACAAACTCGACATCATCACCGTTGACACCAGAGCCCCAATGTAGGGTTGCATAGGACTTTCCCATCGCAGTTGCCAGCCTGGTCGTTTCGATTCCAAGTTTTTTCATGGTGCCAAGATAGAGAGGGAAGTTTCTCAGAGGTGCTTCAGGGTGATACGGGCCGTTGGCCTTGCCGAGGTAGATCCGTGTGAGGCAATGTTTGTTCTGAGGGTTATCAAGGAGGCCTTTGGTCTCGGGGGTTTCGAGATACCGTTCTTGTCCACACAAATGAGCAATCAAAGCTCGCCGGACAATCTTAGGTAACGGAAGGATTCGCTGCATCTTCATGATGTCGCCGCGTGTGCGGTATTCGAGAGGTATCTTCGGGAAAACGTCATCCCAGAATGAGCTTTGCTGTGCTGTTTGTATGTACTCAATGGGCTTAGGAATAGTGACTTCAATCTTTGCCATCCTCTGGTAGCGTTCAAAAGCTGCTGAGACATTGAGGTGGATTTTGTACTCATGGCGTAAGTTGGATGGTCGACTTTCATTGCCGGGTTTTTCTTTCTTGAACACAGAATCCTTGCCAACTTGTTCGAACACGACGCCCTGTAATCCTATACCAATCTGATGAATGTCCTGTAAATCTGGCCGAGACCGTGCTTCCTGGAAACGCCGACTAAACGAGGATGTGGTAGAGATAACTGACTTCAAGCTGAATGATCGTTCAAGGATGGTAGAGTCAGGCATCATTGCAAGTTCAGTGGCATCAAGAAAGCGTTGCACAATTTGAGCGTTTCTCACTATTGAGCTGACGGTTGATTGAGTTGACTCATCACTGCTGTTAGGGGATCGTCGTTCCATGATGGGTTACTGTAAAGAAATGCAGAAGAGAATGGCAGAAGAGAAAGGCAGTAATGAGCAGGTACTTTCCCGACGCCTGTTTTGGCAAGAACCTTGGAACGTTAGAAAGTAAGAGCTGAGTGACGGGAAAGTGACTTCGGGAAGGAGCGTGGATTGTTTCCCAAGGTTCTGTCGACATTTGGAGGTGAGAATTAAATGATTAAGAAGTGAAAACTGTATGAAGCTGCAACACTCTTCAGGTACAGGAGGAATCGTGGACGTTTTTCGGATGAGGACGGACTAGTCCTAAAGACATTAACATTGAGGGCGAGGTGACTTGAAATTGATACAAGATTGTATATATTAATCTGCAGGGGTTCGAAATATACAACCGACTAAAACGTTGAATAAGAAAGCAAAACCCCCAAAACATACCAGGAACATACACACGATCAAAAACAAACCCATAAATAGTATGTAGAATAAACAAGATGACCACGGAAGCTGGAACTGTTGAGACGAAGTACCTACATATACAAGCAGGCCAACGATGCATCCATGGATGAAGAACACCTCTTGGTAGTACAGCAAAGCCTATTTATATCCGGATAACCGTTATATCAAGGTGCCATAACTATATTAAATATATATTTCTGGATCACATACAAATCTAGCCCCCAAAAAAGCTCCTAATATCGCACTGCTTCTCTACCCCCAATATCCTCACTTCCACTAACCTTTCATGTCTATGTTGTATTAGGCGCACTAATTAACAGTTCCCGTAGAGCCACTTTCTAGGAGGTTTTACTGTGCGTTTGAAATAGACCGAGATTCTTTATAAGCCTAGTTTGACAAAAATACATGAAAACAAAAGAATTCACTCGTCTTCAGAGCAGATGTACACGAAGCAAAAGCAAAAAAATGGACTCGCGGGGAATCGAACCCCGGACCACTCCCATGCTAAGGGAGTATTATACCACTAAACCACAAGCCCAATTGGATGAGAGAGGTCGGTCTTTAATGATATATAAACGAAAACGACAATACCGCTGAAAATATGTCACCGATGAAAAGGTTCTGGCTACGATGATCCCTACTCCTCAACTACCAATGATATATATATATATATATATATATATATAGAGTAATAGATGTGCCTAGTAGACTAAAACCCCAAGTCTAACGATGAAAAGGTAACATACCCACACACAAAAAGTACTTATGAATTATAAACAAGCCGGAACAGTGGTATCGTGAAGATCCGATGCAAGGAGACGCCAGCCCTAATGTTGCAGCCTTGTACTGTCTTCGAGCACGAAACAATTGGTCATAACCTGCTGCAAAAGAGAATACTCCTATGATATATGCCCTGATTAATGCAAAGGCAAAGTGATGATATGAGATATGAGTATGTACATGTGGTAGAGTAAGGCACAGCTTTACAAAACAGACTCTCACAAAAGACTAGACATGTTTCAATTCCCCGTCGCACGGGGCGAAAGTCACCCAGAAAAGGGGTATGGAGGAATAGAAAAAATCGCAGGAGGAAAGAAGAAGTAATCGAACCAGCCGAATCGCTAAAACTGACAAATGAAGCACGGTGTGAAAAACATTCCGAAAACCAAGGGGGGAAAAAAGGCCCGCCACGTGCGAATCATAGTTGATATGTTGATTCTCCTCATGCGCTGCTTCCAAATCGGTTCGTAAACCAATTCGTGAATCCCCCTCCACTGCCACCTTCACCTCGACTGGACCGTCGGTTGCTAGGCTGCACCCTCTCTGGCGTAGGGGACCGGCGCGGTGAAATTCGTGGGGAAAGTCGAGTGTGCAATGAAGATAACGAGGATCGACCGCTGCGCGCAGTACGAGCAGAACTGTGACGCCGCTGGGATCTCGGTTGGTCAGGACTATCCTGGATCACTACCGGATTCTCGCAGCTGCCTTCCCCGCCTCTGTGGAATATGCCGTCAGCTGAAAGTTCGCGGTTTGTATATACAACTCACATAGACTTACGCTATGTTTGTATTGATACTACGCCGGCAATGTGGGCAAGTGTCATGTTGGGTCAGCCATGCATGGATGCAGTTGAAATGAAACCAGTGCGTGCATGGTAACACAGTGACTTCCAAGCCGAGTTCAACATTATCCATGCAAATTGAACACACTGCTTTCCCTTCAGATCCCATCATCTCTTCATTAACCTTTTTCTTTGGCAAAGCTTGGACGGCAGCATCTGATGCTGGGGGTGCCGCAGTGCTGGTCCCCCCATTAGTCTCAATCAGTTGTGTGATGACGCGGTCGAGCTCCTCCTGCGAATATACTGCATCCCCGCTTCGACTCATGTTGAGAATGGCGGACAATATCGAAAGAGCATGTGGGTTTCCCAGGCCACGAGCTCCACGTGAGCGTCGCGTAGTTTGTACCCCAATGTCAGCGCGAATAGCATCCATGATCCTAGAATCTGATTAGTCTGCGAACAATCACAAGAGATAGAGCTATTACATACTCATTTATGTCCATCGGATTGCGGTTTCTAGGTTGCGCCATATCTGCATTGCGGGGAAATAGGCCGAGGTGATGGCCTGTGAGGTGGTCGTCCTCGAGCCAGTCGGGAGAGGTAGATGATTGAGGATGGAACGGGTCCTCCCCGAATCCCCGGTACCCACGAGGGTTTGGCTCCATTAAATTTTGTAGAATTGTGTCGAAGCTTTGCATCATCATCGGAACCATAGGGTTCGGGCCATTATTGCGCTGACCGGCAGGCATTCCAGTATCAAGTGTTGCGCTGCTGAATGAAAAACGGCCGTCGGGCGATCTATAGGTACGCAACGAGGAATAGGGAGGAGTACCACTTCCAAAAAACCCAGCGCTTTGCCGTTCTTGTGTGTCTTGTTCCCATGGATTGTGGTCCATCCACGGATTGGCGCGCGGAGGCGATGGGGAGTCGGCACGGCGTGAGGGGGAACCTTCAGAAGACGGTTCTGGGGGAATCTCAACCTTGAGGACGGGACAATGTTAGAATCAAATAAATTAAGAGAGAGCATTCACTGTACTATTTCTGTGAAGTCGGATTCACAATGCGGGCACGTCAAATCATCATCCTTGATCCAAACCGCGCCACAGGCATGGCATAACATGCGGTCGCCGGTGTCCATGTCGCGATACAGAATGATAATCACCTAGAAAGTTCTGAGATGTTGTACGACACAGACGTTAGGATTGAAGCTGATATAATCGATAAGAGATCAGTCACGAGTCATGGCCTTATCTGCGGGGAGTGATCACAGTTGGGTAGATGGCTATTATTTTTTATTGGACAAAGAAGAACACGGGGAACAGAGAGAACAGGGGGGATGGGGAGGGGGGTTAATGTATCACAAACGTGGCAAGCCAGCGTGTAAGAACAAAGAAAGATTTGGAAGTGATTAGTCGATTTAGCTGGAGGCTCTAGAGGTGGGAAAGAGGCAATGACGTTGATCAACGATCGCCTCCATAGCGGAAAACCACCCATACACTTATACCCGAGACTGCATGTATAAAACAAAGAACACTCACGTTTTAGTTTCATATACTATAAAAATAGAAGATCATGCATCAGGCAGCCTTATTTTCCTCTTATTTAATATGCGGTTTCATACCGGGGAATTTGTTGCGACGCAAGGGCAAGAAGGCGACGTATACGGCCCCATATCAGTATATATATATACTTTTTTTTACAAAATTATATAATGGACTAGAGGTTAAAATAGAGGTTAAGATTCAATCATATGATCAATTCATAAAGAAACTAGTACAAAGTATATAATAAACAGCAATAAATGGTCACTTTTTCCATGCAGGGATACAAATTCCTCGCGATCATCTCATCCCTGCCAAATGCAGTGGGGGAGTGAACTGAAAAAGAAGACAGCAATGGATATCACAGGAATGATGCAATTGAACCGGTAACCTCAAACACCCCGATGAAAAGACGGATGGCAATGTCGAGCAGTTTACTTGATCTCGAGGAGCTTGACGTCGAAGACAAGCTTAGAGTTGGCAGGAATGCCGGGGAGGGCCTTCTTGCCGTATGCGAGAGAGGGAGGGATGGAGATGCGACGCTCACCACCGACAGCCATGCCGGCGACACCGATGTCCCAACCCTTGATGACCTCACCCCTTCCGAGCTTGAAGGTGAAAGGCTTGCCCTTCTTGTTGGAGTCGAAGACCTTGCCGTCCTCGAGCTTGCCGATGTAGCGCATAGCGACGGTGTTACCGCTCTTGGCAGCAACACCTTTACCAAGCTTCTTGTCGTCCAGCTTGACTCCACGGATCTCCTTAACGCCGAGAGTGCCAGTGGGCTTGTCGCCGGAGGGGGTAGGACCCTGCTCGAGGTTCTTGGCGAACTGGACCTTCTTGTCGGTCTTGGCCTCCTTCTTGTCCTCCTTCTTAGCGTCCTTCTTGGCCTCCTTAGGCTCAACAGCAGCGGCATCGCCGTTGTTCTTCTTGAGCTTCTTCTGCTGGGCCTTAGTCAAGGCGGGCTCCTCAGCCTTGGTAGACTTGGCCTTGTCGGCCTTAGCCATCAGATCATCGAGGGTGGCTTCCTCAGCGGCGCGCTTGTTCTTGCCCTTCTTGGACTCAACAAGCTTAGGGGCCTCCTCCTCGCTCTCGACCTCGGTGATTCTGGGGTCCTCGATGTCATCAAGGTCATCGCTCTCATCATCATCCTGCATGGCCATGAGGTCATCCATGTCGAGCTCATCCTCATCGGGGGAGAGATCGTAGTCATCCTCTTCCTCATCATCGTGGTCATGGTCATGGTCGTGGTCGTGACCCTCATCGAGACCAATTACGTAGTTACCGGTCAGGAAGACAGTGTGGTTACCGGTGACCTTGAAGAACACGGGCTCACCCTCGCAGACAGTGATATCCAGAGGCTGTTGGTAGTTCTACAGGGGTATTAGACGTCTGTATTCAACGAGTTGTGAAATAAAAGAGGGTGTTGGTCTTACCTGGTTGGGGCTGAGGGTGCAGATAACGTTCTCATCGAGCTCCAGGCCCTCCTCGGACTCGGAATCCTCATCGTCAAGGGCAGGGCCCTTACCCTTGATGAGCTTGGAGATGGCAGCCTTCAGGTCGAAGTCCTCATCCTCCTCCTCCTCGTCATCGTCTTCCTCCATGGCGTCCTCGAGGTCCTTGAGGGCAGCAGCTGCCTTAAGCTTGCGGGCCTTCTCCTTGTCGCTAGGGCCACCGTTGGATTCCTCCTCGTCATCGGACTCCTCCTCATCCTCATCACTGTAGTCCTCATCGTCCTCATCATCCTCATCGAAGTCAAGACCGGGAGGAGCGCGAACAATCTTCAGAGTGGAGCGAGAAGGCTTGCTAGAGTCCTGGTCATCCTCGTACTCTGGGGCCTCATCGGGATCGATAGCGGCCATGCTGATGCGGAACTAGATTCAATGTCAGCACAATTCATCTGTTAATTGCTGATCATAGTAAGACTGACCGAAGCAGCAGCGTTGGGGACTGCTTGAACCATGGCTCCGGGAGGAACCCGGAGCGCGTAGACTGCGACAGGCTGAACAGCAGACATTGTGAATAATTAGAGTAGATTGAGGGGAATGAAAAATGATTAAGTTCAAAAAGAGAATGAACCACGTGGAAACAGATGTGGATGAAGGAAAGAAAACAGAAGAAAAGAAAAGATGCTACCAAGCAACAGATGCGGCAAAAAATTGGAGAAAAAAAAAATCGATCAATAAGATCAATGAATCATTCACCGCTGATGTATTGCCCTTAGTGACCGCTTTCTGAAAGCTTGGATACACGTGATGATTACCGAGCTTCGTGTGAAAGGGTAACGCCGCCTCTCTTTTTGTCTTTATACTCTCTTATCGGTCATGATGGTCGTTGTAGCCCAAAATGGGCTCCCGTCATGAGATAAACTCTAGCGCAGTGCGCAAACGCATTGAAAATCGTACGTTCAGTCCAAATATCAGTCTTTGGTCTTGATCTGACTATGTCTAGATGACTTCAAGGATGAAGGAGGAGAGGAATATGAGGCCTCCAGCTTCGGCGGGTTTGGGGATTACATGCGCCGGAAAAAAATGAAACTACAGAATCTTGACGCTGAAATTCGAGCATCAGCTGGCGATTGCCCGCCAATATTCAGTGGTGTAGTTGCCCATGTCAATGGGTACACCCAACCTTCCTTGCAAGATCTGCACCGTCTGATTGTCAGCCATGGGGGTGGATTCCTTCAATATCTGGATGGCAAGACTGCCGCCACTCATATAATTGCCAGTGCTCTGACACCCAAGAAGCGTGAAGAGTTCCGCCGCTACCGTATAGTGAAACCTACGTGGGTGACAGACAGTATCAAAGCAGGACGTCTGCTACCATGGGATGACTTTAGAATAGTAGACGAAGGTCAAGCACAGAGGGTGCTCAAGTTTGATGATGGCCGGTTTACCAGCCAGACGAATAGCCCTCGCCCAGGTTACAAAGACCAATCAAGGGCCAGCTGGTATAGCTCTCAGCTCCGAGATATGAGCAAAACCGAAGAGGGTCTTGACTCTTCATCAAAGCCTGTGACCCCGTCTACCCAGTCCAACGCCTCACAGATGGTCACACCAACTATGTTGAGCCAGCCATCCCAGTCGGACTATGGAGACTTCCCTAGCTTCACTATTGAGACAGAGGAGGAAGCTCATGACCCTCGGCATCAAGATGAGACACCAGCCAGTGATATAGCCCGATCCACAATGCCACATCAAGCTTCCAATTCCGATCAAGTGCCCACTTCGCCAGATCCAATGGTTGACCTCGTATCAACCTCGCCTCTTGCCCAAATAAGTGCAACAAAGCCTGGGTTGACTTCTGAAGAATACAACGCACAGCTCCTTTCTGACCCAAAGGTGCAGAAGTCCTCTGTTGTCAACCCGGAATTCCTGCAGCAGTATTATAGAGAGTCTCGCCTCCATCATCTGTCAACCTGGAAGGCGGATCTGAAAGCCCAACTGCAGGCTGCAACGAAGGAAAATGCACAGTCTCAAACATCGAAAAAGAAACCTGTACCTGGATCTAGACGGTACATTCTACATGTGGACTTCGACTCATTCTTTGCAGCTGTCTCAGTTCTAAATCACCCCGAGCTCCAAGACAAGCCGGTTGCTATCGCCCATGGCACTGGGTCAGGCTCCGAGATTGCTAGTTGTAATTATCCTGCACGTGCTCGAGGTGTTAAGAATGGGATGTGGATGAAAGGTGCTTTGCAATTATGCCCCGAACTCAAAGTCCTGTCTTATGATTTTCCTGCTTATGAAGATGCGAGTCGCAAGTTCTACACCTCGATACTTGCTATTGGTGGTACTGTGCAGAGTGTCAGCATCGACGAGGCCCTGATTGACGTCACAAATTTATGCGTGGAAGCTGGCGGCTCAGATGGAAAGGTTATATCAGAAGGATCAATTTATCGCGAGCAGGCTAAAGCGGACGAAATTGCCCAAGGTTTACGCGATTCAATCAAAGAGAAGACCGGATGCGCAGTCTCTGTCGGAATTGGCAACAACATTCTGCTCGCAAAACTGTCTCTCAGAAAAGCCAAACCTGCTGGGCAGTTTCAATTAAAGCCAGATGCTGTTCTGGACTTTATTGGAGATCTCGCTGTTCGTGATCTCCCTGGAGTGGGCAATAGCCTGGCAATTAAACTCGAAGAGCTGAGTGTGAAGTTTGTCAAAGATATCAGAGATCTCCCGAAGGAGAGACTGATATCTGGTCTGGGACCCAAAACTGGAATTAAATTGTGGGAGTACGCTCGCGGAATTGACCGAACAGAAGTTGGCGATCAAACCATAAGGAAATCAGTTTCTGCCGAGGTCAACTGGGGGATTCGATTTGTCAATCAGGACCAAGCAGATGACTTTGTGCGTTCTCTGTGCGAGGAGCTGAATCGAAGACTGATGGAAAATTTGGTGAAAGGGAAACAGCTCACCCTAAAGGTCATGCGTCGATCGATGGACGCTCCACTGGAACCGGTTAAGCATCTCGGCCATGGAAAGTGTGATACATTCAACAAAAGCGTCGCTCTTGGTGTTGCGACTAATGTACCAGAAGTCATTGGGAAAGAAGCAATATCGATGTTGAGAAGCTTTAACTTTTCACCTGGAGACTTGAGAGGTCTGGGTGTGCAAATGACTAAACTTGAATTGATCAAATCTGGCCCTTCCGGCCCCGAGAGCAGCCAGCGACAACTCAACTTCCACAAGTCTCCACCTCGCAAGAAAATCATTCCGGATGCAGACCCTGACGAGTTGGAGAGTCCGCAGAAAGATGACTCTGTTCGTATTCAAGCAGATCCAGTTCTCAGCGATAGTGCCCACAAGCCACTCAACATTTCGGGGTCCCAGTTTATTATGCCCACTCAAACAGATCCCAAAGTCCTTGCTGAGTTACCCACGGATATCAGGTCAAGGCTTGTTGCACAAGCAAAGCCTCGACAGAATTATCGCTCTGGGTCTCCTTGTCCTCTCCCACGTGAATCACGACAGCCTACCCAAGCAGACCTCCCCCCGCAGTCCCAGCTGGACCCAGATGCATTGGCGGCATTGCCTGAAGATGTCCGCCAAGAAATATTGGGATATTATAACTACCCAGTCACTAACGCTGCGCCGCCGCTCGCGCCGGCAGTACCAGAGTCACGCCCATCAACATCTAGTTCTCTCAAGCTGAGACGGCCGGTCTCACCCCCCAAAAGGAGGCGTGGCCGCCCACCTAAGTCAGCAACGATCGTCAACAAGCCTAAGCCCAAGCCACTGAACCAATCAAGCTTTGGGTTCGTTCTTCCACGCCCAGAGGCCGTATCTGCTAGTATTAATGAAGAGGGCTTGTCTAGACAAGCGTCACCTAATATCGAAGAGCCAGCCGAAGCTACAGCCGAATTTCTTGCTGCTTTACCTGAAGATATCAGACAAGAACTCCTTGAAGAACAAAACCGCTCTCGCATGCAACAGCGCTCGCGAGCCACTGAACCTGCGCAAAGACCTCCATCTCGGGCACAGGAAGCTACTCCTGCACCAATTGCCGTAGAAAAGTTTCTACCTCTACCCCCTCTCCCCAAGCGTCCAGTCTTTACATCACAGCGCCTGTCCCAATTACCAGATCTGCGAGATGCTATTGGATCATGGCATGAAGTCTTTGCGGCTGGCGGTCCATATGATGATGACGTTACTTCGTTATGTAGATATCTGTCCAGTGTGACATTGCAAGAGAAGGATGTGGACAAAGCTGTTTCAGTGGTGCGCTGGTTGATGTGGTTGGTGGGTGATCATTCGCAGCAGGGGTCTAAAGAGCCACAAGGGTCCCGGCCCGAGGGAACTCTAAGCTGGGAAGAGGCTATAGAGACCTTGCAGTATAGTGTCCAGGTGGCTCTGGAACAGAGGGGGCTCCCTCCAGTGGACTTTTTGTAAATGATACCCAAATTTTAATAACATCGTTGAGTTTAGTATATATATCAAAGATTGGCCCGCGCACTCGCTCAATCTCAACCCAATTGAATTCGTCTAGGTGTATATCAAAGCGGTAACTCTTTTGTATGTTTCTAGGTATGTTAAATATAGGGAGATCGGATAAGGATTAGGCTTGTGTTAAACGTTGTATGGTTACTACGTGGGAGGCGTTAGATCAATCTAAAATTAGTACGTTGATATTCGAAGCATAGCTCATAAATATCATCCCGGTAAAAAAAAAAAAAAAAAAGAAAACGGGGCAATCAAGTAAAGAGGTATCTAAGAAGACCGTCGAAAAGAAGATAAAGCATAAAAAGGCAATCCGCCAAGAAGTTATCGCTTTCGCAATCAAGAACGATGTGGCAGACATGAAGACATGAGGAGTAAGGGTAAAGAAGGACATCACGGGAGAACCGAAGGTGGTCTATCATGCCTAGGCACCGCCGCGCGTGGAGGATGCCATGGTGGGGAAGCTTGAAGTAACTTATTAGACGGATTCATCGTCGTCCTCTTGCGGGATTCCTTGTAACCGAGAAAACAGCTCCAGTTCCATGCGCTGAGCCGGAATTGGGCCTTGGAGGATTTCTTTCACCATATCAGTGCCGGGGGGGAAATCGTGCTCGAAGATGGGCTCACCAGCCCCCTTCATATTGGCAAGCACAGACTGGCGGAAATGCCAACGAAGCATTTCATCTGCGACACGGTCGGGATTGTTCGCATCTCGGCACACGATCTCCAGTACTCGACCATCGGCCTTCCAGTTATTGCCACCAAAATCCGTGATCTTGTAGCAATCCTAAACATAGATTAGCAAACGATTCATCACTTACCTAAGGCATAGTAGTTAATTTACTTACATCGGGATTAACGGAAACGAGAAAGCTATCAAATAGCCTATGCATCGTTGCCGCGACTAATAAGCCGTTCTGTACTGAGTTGATTGGCTGTCGCCCGGGACGCGTAATAAAACGGTCGAACTTACACCGGCGCCAAAGTCCCTGGCGCTCCATAGGGAAGATGTGTGCCGCTTCAAAGCCGGTCCACTCATCCAAACTTGCAACGTTGTTGACTACTCCAGTCAACACGCATTTTCCATCTCGCGCCCGTACAGAATCCCGAAAGGAGTTTTCCCCGCTACTTCGGCTACGGGAGTGAACTCGTCGCACGCAATTCTCTTCGGTCAGTTTGATATCGCCTAATTAAGTTAGCCTGGTTCCTCATTATTTCATTATTGTCTTCCCAAAACAAAAACTCACCCCGAGGGCAAAAGATATCGTAGTCTCCTTCTGCTAAGCGATCAGTGTTCATTGGCATCGGTTGCCCGGTCCCTCTAAAGCGGATTGAAATTATTCCATGGACGACGAGTAAGATATCCATCAGCATGTGGAAAAAATTGGCGTTTGTGATGGATCCATTTTGTCGGACACCCCCGAGATGAGCACCCGTTGAGCCGTCATAAAAGTTCACATTCCGCCTACCAGAGCGAGACATCTTGGCGGGAAGTGGAGAGTAGTTGACCGCAGTGCTGCAGTGACTGGGGTAAAAACGTGGAAGAGTGGAGACCCCAATGCAAAACTAAACCGCCTTGAACTACTGTCTAATCACGTGACCATATCTTCTCCCTCTTTCACAAACGTAAAGGGTACGTAATTGACTTACTTGAGCAGAGCAAAGAACATCCTTATGCTGCTTTAGGTGACCAGATGGATATTGACTATGCTAGCGAGTTCGAGGCATACTCAGACCCACCATCTCCATCCCGAACCCTGAAACACACCCTGGGTCTACTCAATGGGACGTACAAAGTTCGTTCCTCCGATATTGAAGACGAATGGCCACTCGCTATGCCATCTGACGGAATCACCTTATCCCTCCGCGTCAACGGAAAGGAGATTTGGGGGACATACGAGTTCGGGATGTTTGAGGGTGTACTGTGGATGCCAGAACGACCTATGAGGCCCTCCTTTGACAGAATTCCGTTTAAGTGGCGTGGGCGGGAGACTGATGAGGGTGAGATGAGTTTTGAAGATGACCAGGAAGGTTGGATCGAGTTTTGGGGCGATGGCGACATTGTTGGGATGATCAGCTGCTTTGGAGATCTCTATTTCCGAGGACAACGGATTGATAGTACTGTTCGGACAGCCAGTGATCTGCGTAACGAATGGGATGGCTACAACGATGAAGAATATGAACGAGAGAACAGGGCCCGGTGGGGTGGGTGGTAAATGGTGAATGGTAGCTAATGAATATCTTGTTCCAATGATTCCCAGATGGTCTACTTGACTCGAGGTCAAAGTAGTCTATCAAAATCCTCCCTGGGTGGTCGAGTGGGTGAGAGACATGAGGTCATCTGATTGCTAGATGGAACAATGACTCCGGGTGATACCGCATTGGGAAGCTTATGCAATGGCGAAACTGGCCAGGATTTCGATCCTCACCAGGAGTAGTTGGGAAGGATTACTTTTTTTTGCTCCTTTTCTATATTAAGCCTTCACTATCAGACTCTCTTCTCTCGGCTTGTCTCGGGGTATAGCAGTGGACTAGCCCTACCTAGGATCCAGTAGGATATTATAACATCATAGAACAATCAAATTGCTTTAGTTTCTCTTCTATTACACTAGTCTCGAGGAGATGCAATACACTCATGGCATTCTCACGAACTTGACACTGGGAGTTACAACCAACCCCCCTCTGCCGGTATCTATATTTTTGCTATATACACTGGAAAGCCAACTATAATAACGTCCCCAACCAACATTCTTATACAGGCTTACACCCGAAAGTAAGGCCAGTGGCGATTCCACTGACGGAGGAATTCGACTGTCTAGTTTGTGACAGACCAAATATTCCAGAGCATCGACCTAGGTGCATCCTGGGGCGTTTAGGCCCAGGCACCGACGATGCTCATGCAGAAAGCACCCAAAAATACCAGGATGCATGCATAAACCCTCCTCTTCCCACGGAGAATGCGCCAGCTCTCGTCACTGAGAAAGTCCTCCGACATCAACTCCACAAGCGAGGCAAAAATCAGAAGTCCAGCTGATATGGCATTCATGACACCGACAACGAGCAGACCAACCTCCGAGTCGGGACTATAGAGTGTATGGGTTGCGAGACCAATAGCCTGCCCGATTGGGGTTCTAGATCTTATTAGAACCACTTAGTCCGGAGTGAGTAGGGAATTAACTTACGTGCATCCGTACGCAAGGGACATGATCCAGGGCTGGATTTGCTTTTCGGACCAGGGAAGTGAGGCGATGCGGGATCCAAGCGCCAGGCCTTCGAATGTTTCTGTCATTGATTTAGTTAAATGCACTGCTCCTACCAACCAGATGAATATGGAAAACTCACGATGGAATACAATGGCAATCAGCAGAATCACGAATTCATTGCCAACCGACACACTGAGTGACATGCCAATGAACACGCTGTGGAAAAGAATGCCCATCTCAAGAAGGTAGACCTGCATGGCCTCTTTCTTCTGCTTCTGCTCAGGGGTCAAGGCGAAGGTATCATCATGACGCTCCACATCTGCCTGGATAGCCCCGTTATCCTTCTCGTGATGAGTTCGAACATCAGACGCAGATGCAACTCGAACTATATCTTCAGCGTCTTCGCCCATGCGATTTATAGCTCGACTTATGCTCGCAGACCTTCCAATTAGCGGACCCATATCTCGTAAATGAGATCGGCCATCCATTCCAGCGGAGTGCGAGCTCGGCCCTCTAGTGTGCTCGGGATATCCAGGAACATCAAAGGTCCGAGTTGGACCTGTCCGCGCAACCGCAGGGCAGGAAGCTAGCCTTTCGGCTGGGACCTGGTTTCCCCCACGGCAGATTTTCTGGGCTGGACTGAATACCATTTCGATGACCGTAACGAGAAATATACCACCCAAGGCAATGGCGCCCGGCATGGCTGGGTAGTCCTTTGTCCAGAAATTAGAGAGACATGGGTCTCCCAACGAAGTAAACGCCGTCGGAAGGAGATGCACAAATGCTGTGGCGATGAGGACGCCAGTTCCAAAATGGGTGACGAAAAAAAGGAACGCGGGTGGAATGTGCATTCGTGGGAATCGAGTTGCGAGGATGGGGAATGCGCACGCAATGCTTGAAGTGGCTAGGATGATGAAGAGGGCCGCAACGTGTAGCGGTAGGTCGTATGCACCGCGGGTACCTCCCTGGGCACAACTTGATCGTCTGACTGGCTCTGTATACTGCTGTACAACAGGTACTTCCAGTATGATTGGTTGTTTAGATGTGAAATACTGCTTCAGACTGCCGAAGGAGATGACTGCCGAGACAAGAAGCACGGAGAGGAGCCACAATGCCCAAGCCTTGATACTCTGAGATGATAGGAAAACATTGTTACTTGGGTTCAGCCCTTTGTGACCGATTCCAACTTTAGTATTTTGGGGAGCGAGGCGTCCTGTTCACTCGTTAGAAGATTAACACTTGAATATAAGCTTGCTGTTCATACCTGACATTGTCAGGGACGCCTCGCACCCCATGCCAGGGTGATTCCCGGCATCTTTTTCCTCTAGCGGAGGAATGCACTTCCAATTGGAGCTTCCCCGCAAAGTGCCTGGACCAGACTCATCGTCTTTGTTCTCGCGGGTGTTTGAGATGCCATTGAGGTCTTGGCGGGTGGTTAGGTCCGGAGAAAGGAAGCGCGGGTTTTGATTCCACCCATCGTGCAGCAAGGGGTCGTCAGTCCGAGATGGGCAATTCATGATGCCGCAATTTTAAACTGTACTTTTAATGTAACTATCTGGACTCAGTGTAACAGGTGAAAATTATAATCACCTCGCTGAACAAACCCAAGGCAGCACCGATCCCGAGGGCTTGGCAGTGGGCGGACTCCGGCCCGATTTTCCTTGGCAGTGGGCTATCAACTATCGCTGTGATTCGTTCAGACAACCCATTCGGTCCGGTATTGGCCGAGCCACGAATCTCGGAGGCAATGAGAAGTCTGATGTGGAACCGAGGTTACTGAGTAAGATATATTCTTAGACAAAGTGCCCAGGTGGTCCCCAGAGCACATCACTACTGCACTGGGAGGAGAAACAGCACATAGGAGTCAACTGCGGGTTGATGGGTGTCTATACATTGTTACAGGAACTAGTTGTTACAAGACCTCAACATTGTACATTGGTATTCGTATTATTTTTCATGATCATTTTGCCCAGGGAGCCTTGGTATGCACATCGGCGTTTCCATTCTGTGAAGGCGAAGGCTGAGGCTGAGTAGACCAAGGTGCTCTGGTCGGTACTATGGGACCTGGAGGCATCCTTGAACTACCCGGAAGAGTAGAGGGAACTCTGGTTGTACCGCTAGGCATCGAGTTTGAGACCCCCTCTCTTCTCACCCCAGCCCACGGGGCTGCTGTCGAGGCCATCGGGGGGACAGCCTGCGTGTTTGCCCCGGGTTTAGCCCAGGGAGCCTGGGTGCCACCTGCAGGCATAGGACGGGTAGTGGCAACAGAAGGGTGACCAGAATCCGGCACAACGGGGCGTGCCTGCGGACCAGATGTGGAATGAACCGTGGAAGGGGACAGAGGCGCATTTGGATCACGGTCCCAGCTGAATAGGGATCCGAAAGGGAAGTGCTGTACCACGGGGAATTTTGAGAGAACTTCTGCGTTGTACATCTTAATCATTCCCTGGTGTGATCTGTCAGCGCGAACGTCTCCACAAACTATAAAGACTGCGAACCTTATTGATCTTGCCCCAGCCGGCTCGAATGCCAGAAATATCGAACAACATGGGGCTGTGCTCCCAGAACGGGCCTCTCTTCACATCATAAATGAATCCGATAGCGGAGAAATATAGATTAGTTTGGCGTTCCCTTTCAACAACTTTTGCATTGGCGACCCCGCCCGGGTCAGGTGCATTAGGCAGTGAGCCTTCTTCGGGAGTTAGGTCAGTATCATTGATTGCAGGCGATAGCTGTGCAGATCCAAAGATATAAGGGGCGAAGGAATGATCATCTAGTCCCCAGACGCCGTGGGAGCCAGCAGGCTCAAGGTTGTATGTCTTAATGAGTAGTCTGATAAGTTCCATGTATCTAGGTGACAACAGTCAGTAAGGGACGAAGCATATCCGGTGTGGTAGATTCTTGGTGGACGCACGGATGGATCACACCGACCACGATAGCTCGTTCCTCCACCCCTGGGCCGGCGTTGGGGAATCCATTCAGCTTCCATATTCCACCCAGGAAGGCTAGGAAGCTCAGTTCATGACCAGTACCATAGTCCAATCGTTGGCCACTTCCCCAGCTGCCCAAGAAATATGATTTCAACTCCGTCTCTGCCGTTGTGCCTTCACCCGACGATCTCCTATCCAATAGATCGGCCGGCAGGCATTCCTTCAGCAGGTCGGACGCGCGACTTTCGACCACTTCAGACCATCTTCGAAAGCTTATATTTCCAAACCTCCGCGGACCGGTATCTGGTGGGACTTCCTGTATGATATCTTCGAGTTTCGAGAGAAGTCGCTGCAATTGTCGGACTGGAGAGGAGTATTGTATCGCATCGCTATTGAGAGTCCAAGTTTGTATAGTGCCATCGGCCACCTTCAGTGGAAACATAGATCGGTTGAGTTGTAGTATCCACGTCATGATATCAGTATAGGCTTTGGAGGCCAGGAACGTCGATACATCTTGCAACTCGTGGATCTTTTTGCTGGGTTTGATAAAGGGGTGCGGTGTAGAGTCCACAGTGGACAACATACGAATAACCGGGTTAGCCATGCTTGAGAAAATCTTGAGGTTGGAGTGAGAGAGAAAGAAGGTTGGAGGGGGAAGCGGGATGTTATCTGCGGCTCCACCAGAGCTCTTCCCTTACCGCGTCTCTGCCTACTTTTGACTTCCCCACGCGTTTTTGAAGATGTCGCCAAAAAAGTCGAACAAAAGATCCACCGACTACAGTCTTGGGCTCTTGAATAATATCAATGCGCCCGGGCGCGATACCGCGAACATACAGGACCCCAAAAGGCGCCGCACCACCCATGGCGATGTCTTTGATATTCCCGTCTCCCCTTCCCCGACAAAATTTCGAAAGACGCCTCAAACCGAACCAAAAAATACAAACCGGTTGAGTTTGAGAAACCGTACAGTGCCTAGATTTGCGCGACCGGAGTCACCTCCCAATGTTTCCGACAATGAAGACAACGGGCCTAGCAACGACGATTCCGGGTCAGGCGATAGCGAGTCTGAATCAATTCAAGATGCACCCGGTGATAATGGGGAGGAAGAATTGAATGATAACCAAGATGAGATCCAGCGCCAAGCTGAATATGATCCGTTTCCCGAACCAGTCGATCTGTTCCCAGCCGAAGATGAGGGCCAAGCTGATGATCAGGTTGGATACAAAGCTACAAATACACAAGACGATGAACCTGGAGACGGATCCAGATATGAAGGCGAAAAGGGGACAGATAATGAAGCTGGAGAGGAAGCTAGAGACACACAAGATGATGCATCTGCAGACGAATCCGAAGATGAGGATGAAGAAGAGGCAGATGATCATTCTTCAACTGGAGACCAAAGTCACTCAACACCCACCCAGCAGATCGCAAATGCAGACACTTTCGAGGTGCAAATCCTCGAGGGTGTACCAAGAAACCAAAGGGATGGCGCACATATAAGTCGTGTGTCAGCAAATGCTCGAGAATCTCAAAATATCTCCTCGCAGCTCCAGGAAGTACCAGAGACACCAAATATTGAGCCACCCCCCCGCCCGAATCAGGACCATCGAAGCACTCACCCCGATATCTTCACGTGGCTGACCGAGGCCACCAAAGAATCTGGCTTCAAGGACACCTGGGAAGCAATGCGCAAAACAAGGAAAGCTCTAAAGACCCACGCTGATCCCTCTGTAAAAGACCATTTCAGGGGTATCATAAAGCTCATTGAGCGGCTACGAGGTCTGTTTGAAACAATGACCAAGGATCCTGCCTCAGCTTCTTCCTTGAAAAACCAGTGCAGCATTATCGCCAACAGCGTCTTTAAAGAGAACCAGTGGATCATTTACACAGAAGCCCCAGAGGATGAAGAGGATGGTGCACACCTGGTCAATCAGCTCGAAGCCCATATTGTTCCCCGACTGATTGACCTGATCATACACGGATTCAAGTCCTACAAAACTATGAATGATCGGGGAGCGCGACAGTTCCGCACTATCTTGGATTTGCTTTGGGGATCCTGTGATAGGATATCTTCTCTCGCCCAGATGCATTATGATATTAGTAGGGGCGTGATGGCTCGTTCTAAAATGGTGATGCGACACGTGAAGACTCTCAAGGACGCATTAAACGACGGCCGGCTACGTGAGACACCTCATCGCATCCCCCAACGCCCTCTAGCGTACAGGCAATTTGAGTTGGAAGAGGTCGAGAGCCATATCTCTTGTGGACGGTGGACCCATGCAGAGAAGATTGCACTCCGTGCTGGCTTGCAATCATATGAGGGTAAGACCTTTTTTTTTTTTTTTCATTTATCATGCTATTTGCTATTCTGACGGTTTCAACAGGAGAAGATCGATACATCGATATCAAATGTGACAATACAATCGGCGGTCAACTCTCCCAGCGCATCCTACATGATATCCGGGGCCAGGCCGTCAAACTCGGATTGGATGATCCATAATTTAATTGAGGGAGAGACAGGATTAGGTGGGATATTGGTAGCACATTGCGTAGACTTGATTTCAAATACCCCTTGGCGAGACTGAAGTTCATAGAGACCAAACCATATTTGAATCTTTCATACTTCCGGCTAAAGCCCTTGGAATGTCCACGGGTATATCTGCCCAGGTGGAATGTCCATGTGGGGTTCGCGAACCACGGGTATTGTGTTGAATATCCATGGTCAACTATCAACACACTATACCTCGGCTGAAGCCTGACTACATGTACATATGTATGCCTGGGAAAAGTAGTGCAGATATTTTAGCAAAAGTTCGATTGCGATATGGTGAGATACCCAGGTTGGTTATATTAGATAGTTCGTCTTTGAGCTCCTGATTCTGTTTCTGAGACATATTGGGTACTAGTAAGGTGATACGGAGAAGGGTTGCCAGGGCTTTAGGGGAATGGATGAATATCAAGCAAAGCAAATAATCAACATACAACATATAATACTGATTTTAAACATATAGTTATTGTATTCATTTTAGAAAGACAGTAAGATCAAATGTAAGGAGATACCCCGGATGCACGACCCATTAGGGGGGATGTGTCCAGAAAGTGTCCAAAGTATAGAGCAGCGGCGATCCCCCCCTCCTAAATTGACACCGCTTTCTCTTTTTCCCGCTTTCCCCTTTTCTTCCCCAAAGCATCTTGACACCGTTTGCTTTTGTCGGTTTATTTGCTTTTCTTTTTTTGTGGTCTGGACTTCCCCTGGTCTGGATATCAGTTTTCGAGTAACCGTGAAGAATTCACATTGGAACGGTTGTGCGGCGCGTGAGTACATTCTTCTCTTTTCTGCGTGTTTGTTTATAGACGGGAGCTTCGTTTGAGCTATACAATGGCTTCCAGTTCTGCGGGCACAGGGGGCATACCTTGAACGACTGGGACAATGAGATTTTATACTTGTACCTAGAACGCTACAAGCTTCTGACGAGGTCATTGGAGTTGCATGAATTCTGCTCGGATCTGAGGTTGACAGCGAACCGGTTGGGCAATCATATGTTTAGGGGTTCTGAATTTACTCAACCAGAGCTGACAACTCACAACGAATTTTGCAGACAGCTCACTGGTATACACCAACTGAACCTTACCACGAAGCTTGCCCTCTTTAATACTTTAATTCCGAACAATCTACCGATATGTCGTCAAATGACGACACGGTCGTTGCCCCTGCTCCTGTGGAGGTCGACGAAAATGAGCCCCCAGCTACCCCGATAGAGTCGACCGTCGTCTCCGGAGGCGAAGAGTTTGTCAAACCCAGCCCCGAGGTATCCAAGGAAAGCCCCGCGGCCTCTCCGGGTAAGGCCAGCCCTGCCGCCGCGAAGCGTCCTGTATCTGGAACAGCTACCACCAAACGGCCCACCTCGTCCTCTGCATCGAAACCCACGACTGGTACAACCCGAACGACCACCGGCACGCTGAACAAACCTCCCACTCGTCCCCCGACCACGACAACCACCCGGAAGCCGCTGAGCACCTCGACCGTCTCGTCCCACCGATCTCGCATGTCAGTCAGCAGCTCTGCAGACGAGAAGCCTCGGTCTGTGGCGAGCTCAGGAGATGAGCGGCGGGGAATCTCTGGTACCGCGAAGCGCATGTCCATGGCCGGTACCACCTCCACCCGCGCTCCTCTCAAACCCACCTCTTCCATTGATCGTAGATCGAGTGTTGCTGGTACCACCGCTGAGAGGAAGCCCACCGCTACAACTACGCGCACTGCGGCCTCGACGAGCAAGCCCGTGGGCAGATTGACTTCGTCGACGACACCTGCAAGCCGGACTGCCACTTCCACCTCCACTACTAGACCTGCTACTGCTCGGCCAACTTCGACTACAAGCACCGTTAGATCTGCCACCACGACTGACCCCAAGAAGCGACTGAGCACGCTTCCTGGCTCAATTTCGCGAACTGGTGATTCCGAGAAGCTGCAGGCCCTTCAGACTAAGCTCACAGAGAGCGAGGAGACCGTCGCTAGTTTGAAGACTGAATTGGAGACTGTCAACGAGAAGCTCAGTCAGCTTTCTGTCTCGGCCGGAGAGCCCTTGGGTGATTCTGGTGCAACTGAGGCTATTCGTGCTGATCACACCGCAGAGATTGGGAGGTTGACATCGGCCCATGCCGGGGAGCTTCAGGCCCTGCAAGCACGACTAGACGAAGTGGAGTCCCAACGGAAAGAGCTGGAGGAGAGTTCGCAAAAGGAGCTGGAGGAAGCTAGACAATCCGCTGCTGCGGAAGGGGATGACAAGACAGTTTCCCTTCTTGACGAGCTCAAGTCAACACATCAGACTCAGCTTGAGGCCATCGAGAAAGAGCTGGCAGAGCATAAGTCTGCAGCTACCCACTTTGAGGAGCAGATCATTGCCCTGAAGAAGGAAATCGAGTTCCAGAAGCTTAGCCTGGAGGAAGAGAAAGCTCTGGACCTCGAACACTTCAACCAAGAAATGAAGGGCCGTGACCAGGTCATGGAGAACCTTAACACGGAGATTGTGAAGCTGAATACGCTCAAGGAGCAGGAGGTCCGTGCTGCGGAGGAGTCTGCTCAGGAGAGTATCACTGGTCTTCAAGAGCAAGTAGCTTTCCTCGAGGCGAAGCTTGCTGTAGCGGAATCTGTTACCCAAGAAAGCTCTGAGCAGACTACTTTGATTGCTGAGAAGGATCAAGAAATTGCCGAGCTTAAGCAGGCCCTTGAGAAGATTCAAACTGAGCTCCAGGAGGCACGCGACACTGCGGCCACTGAATTATCGTCAAAGCTCGAGGAGTTGGAGACTGCCCATGAGGTTGCTATCGCAAGCCTCAAGGCCGAACATGAAACCGCTATCACTGATATTTCCGCTTCCCACGCGGAGAAGCTCACTGCTGCCATGGCGGCGGCGGAATCGAGCGGCGCAGAACACACCACGCAACTCCAGGAACTCCGTGATGCCCTCGAGGCATCCAAGGCTACTGCCCAGAAGGGACAAGAAGATGCCGTTGCCGAGCTTAAGATCACGCATGAATCAGAACTCAAAATGTTGCAAGAGAAGCTGGAGGCTTCCGAGAATGCCCTCGGCGAATCCCGCCGTGCACTGGATGAGGGCAACGCCTCTGCACAAGACCTTGCCATCCAGGAGATTGACGCTCTTCGACAGAAGTGTGAGTCGCTGGAATCACAGCTGACCACTGGCACTGGTAAAATCAACGCGCTCCTCGAAGAGATGCAGAGCAAGCAAGCCGAAGCCGAAGCTATCCACCGCACTCTACGGGACGTTGAAAACCACTCCAAGCAAGAGGGTGTACAGAAGGACAACAAAATGAAGGCTCTGGAGGACAAGGCTGCGGAAGCTGTATTCCTTCTCGAGCAACATACCTTGGAGGCTGCTGGTGTGTCTGAAAAGCACGCACAAGCTCTGGAAGAGTTGAAGGCTGAGCATGCTGCTCAGCTCGCATCCGAATTGGAGCGGGCCAAGGAGGCATCGGGCTCCAATGTCAGCGCACTCACTGATCTTCAGACGAGGCACGATGAGTTGCTTGCCACACACAAGGAATTGGAGTCTACCCACACCACCCGGGTTCAGTCACTTGAGGCCGAATTGAATGCGGTACTCGAAAACCACGCTCGTGAGATTGCTACCCATACCGAAGGTCGCGAAAAGGAGACCACCGAACTTCAAACTCAATTCGAAGAGACTCAGGCGAAGTTGCAAGCCGAGCTTTCCGCTTTGCAGAGTTCTAGCAAAGCTGGTACCGAGCTTCACGAGCAGCAAATTGCCGAACTGCAAAAGGGCTTCGAAGAGACTCAAGCCAAGCTGCAGGCCGAGATCGAGGCTGCCCAAACCTCCAAGGCTGCTGACGTCAATGTTGAGCACAGCAAGGCAATTGCTGAACTCCAGCAGGGCTTCGAAGAGACCAAAGCTAAGCTGCAGGCTGAGATTGAGGCTGCTCAAACCTCCAAGGCTGCTGAGATCGATGCCGAGCACGGAAAGGCAATCGAGCAGCTTCTAACCATGCACGAGTCCAAGCTGTCTGGCCTCAGGGAGGAGCTCGAAGCTTCTAACAAGACCAAGATCGATGACCTTCAGAAGGCCCACGATGCAGCTCTAGTTAGTGTCAACGAGCAGTTGTCGCAGGCCAAGGCTGCTGCCCAAGACACCTCCGCTTTGGATGACTTGAAGGCCACAGTTGCTGACCTGCAGGCCAAGCTTGCTGACTCTGAGAAGGCTCACCTTGCGGTGCAGGAATCTGCCACCACTGCTTCGAAGGAAATCGAGGGTCGTTACTCAGCTGAGCTCGCCAAGATCCAGGCTGATCATGCTGCACTTGGAGAGAAGTACCAAGCCGCCGTCGCCCAGGTTGGTGAATTTGAAAAGCTTGCCAAGGACTCAGACAGCCAGAAGTCGCACCTTGAGTCGATTATGAAGCAGCTCTCTGAATCCCGTGATCAACTTCTCAAGGTCAAGGCTGATAACGCCGCCATCTCCGACTCGCTCGTTGACTGCAAGAACCAAAACAAGACCTTGTCCGAGAAGCTTGAAGCTGGCGAACGTGATCTGAACGATCAGATTGATAAGAACATGGGTCTCCTCAACCAGCTTGGCGATGTTGATTCCGACATCTCTGCCAGCCGGCGACGGGTCCGCGAACTCGAGACTGAGCTCGCAGTTCTGAAGGCGGACAGTGGTGAGAAGAGCAGCTCTTCGGGCTTGGAGGCTAGCCGGTGGGCGACAGCCGATGAGGGTAGCGAGAACGCTGAAGATGGGGGTCCAGCCACAACGGAAGGTGAGGACCTAGGCCCATCCATTGAGGGAACGGTGGGAGATCCCCGATTGAAGAAGTCTTCCTACTCATCAGATCTTCCCGCATTCCACCCATTCACATGATTATGAAGACTATATTAGTGTATACAGAGACTAATGCATTCCATAGATGGCAAGCATCCAGGAACAGCTTAAGCACATCCGCACAGCCAATGACGATTGGTACAGCGAGCATCACAGGTCAGTCAAATATGTGCTCGTGTTAATCAAAGCATTATCCTGATCTCTTCTAGACTCATTGGCAAACTTGCCGAACTCTCCCGGCAAGCATCTTCCGAGTCTCTCAGCGCCTCGACCACACCCAATTCGGAAGTCCCACCAGCCCCCGAGCCAGAACCTACTCGCACCCGCGCAGCAACAGTCTCATTTTTCAGTAAACGCTGAGTATCGCGTGGATTTGGCGCCCCTTTGAGCTCTTAGTCGTGATGCAGCATGACTTTCTTTTGTTGAATCCTGTTTCCTCTGCTCTTGTGATTCTACTGTATGTAATAACTACGCAGGATACCCTGTCTTACTATGTCGGGGTTTTCCCACTATTCTTGTTTCAATATCTTTATCTTACACATGCAACTTGTTTGAGTTGAACCTTGCACTATCCGTTTTACATTACTACCATGGTCAGATTGGCCGGTTTTCAAGTAGCGAGATATGTACAAGTGGGTTGATGCCCGACACAAGCATGCCGGGACAGATAATTCAAACGTAATGATATGATCGAAAGTTTAGAACAAAGTGGGTATCTCATACATAAAAGAATAAAGCTCAAAGAACGCCTCTCCCCATATCGCAAAATAGTTCATAAAGGTGGATTCGAAATCACTCCGAGTCGGAGTAGCCGACGAGTGCTGGTTTTGGTGCCACAGCAGAGGAATCGAGTTCTGTGCCACTGGCATCGTCACGGACAGATGGAGTCGAAGAGGTAACGGCTTTCGAGGAGGCGACGGTTTTCTTCTTGACGTGACGTTTCCATGTACTCGGGTCAGTTGCACCCTGCAAGAACGGATCGATAAGAGCACGAGTATTCCCAACCAGCTCATGGCGGAAAGCAGCTTTCCGACTCGCAATCAGATCATTCTTCCTAGTCCGCATCCAAGAAGGCGTCTTTCGTGTAGGAGTTTCCGTCCGCTGCTCGAACATAGGCCGAAGACGAGTCACACGGGAAGCATGCGAGGTAACAGTAGCCGGGTCCTCGCCAAACTCCACCATACTGGCTTTCTGTCGATCCCCCTCCGTCTCATCCAAGAGCTCAATCCCAAGACTCATTTTGTCCTTAAGAGCATCGCCCTTGGCCTTCGCCTTCTCAAGTCCCTTCCTCTCTTGCCGAAACTTCTTCCGTAGCTGCTTAGACTTCTCATACGGATCCTCCCAATCGCGTTTCTGTCGTTCTTGCAGCTCAAGAATGCGAGCTGCCTCGGTCTTCGCCCGATTCTTATCCTCTACCTTCCCCTCAATCTTCGAAAACGGATCCTTCTCCGCGGGGTCGATCTCTCGCGCAAACGGCTTGATAGCAATTTCGCCAGGCTGTAGCTCTTTGTCTTCACCCGTATCGCGTTTCCGTCCTCCTTCGGTGACAACGTAAGCTGTGTTCTGGGGATCGGTTTTGATTTCGATGGTTCCGCCGCAGACGGTGTGTTTCATGCGGAAGCTGTAGATCGGAGTCGAGTAGTAGTTGCCTACTTTTTTCTTCTCTGCGTTGAAGCGCACGCCTTGACCGATTATGGTTGGGTGTGGTTTGCAGTTCGTGCACCATGTGGCGAAGGGCATCTCGAAGCGCACGATGAGTGCACCTGTTGTGTGGAGGTGGCGCGCGCGCGCGCCGAGCGCGTGCTTCCCCGCGATTTGGTTTCCGGTTGCTATACCTTCTTGATCTGGCGGGACATACCTATTAAATACGTTAGTCGCGGGTTATGTGGAGGTTTGGAATCTTTTGCTAACCGTCCCATATCTATTGAATTGCATGTTAGTTGGCCCGTTTCGCATGTTCTTTTGGGATTTGGACTTACTAAAGCCCTGCATCTTGGGCGAATTGGGCGGGTATCCCCAGTTTGGTGACTATTGACGACAGCCAGTCCGAGTTGATAGTGGTGTAGAAGCGAAGTGTCCGGCGGAACTAGCTGAGGTATACCTAGATTCGCCCGCGCGGGATTAAGGCTGCTGACTCATCATTGCTCTTTAGCGGGTCCTGACGGAAAGCTGGTGTACGAACAATGTATGGTATAAATGACCAATGTTGACAACTCTAACTAACTAAAATGACAGAACCCGCTATTTCAACAATCTGTGCGGACCATGATGACTAACTGTAATATGCACTTTTGTATGGTATGCCTGGTACCCAATGTCACATGATGTTTCCGGTATATTACCTGGTTTCTACCATATATTCGGACTTGGTATTCGACATACCCCCCAGTTCTTAAAGCCTGCATTTCCTGGCTTTAAGAGCTGTCAATTCCTTCATTTCTGCACTCTCTTCAAGCAGCCTCTGTTTCTCGGATCAGATGACTGATCTCTCTCATCCTAATCAGCTCTCTAAAGAGATGCTGCTTCTGTCTCGGAAGCGCTTTCGTAAGGCCATCTGCTGGCATAGCCGTAGTTGGAACCTAGTCAACATTGACTCGACCCTCGCTAACCTCCTGTCTTATCTAGCAACGATTAATGTCAATATGTCGGAGCTTCGTATATATCGCCGCCCCTTCCTTTGTTAACAAATCGACGGTTTGCTGGTTGTTATATATGATAGATAGTGGGTGGTTAGGTTAGAAGCCTAATATAGAGAGGACTCGACGCTACTACTATATAGTTTTGCCTACCTCGGCTAGAGCTAGTAGCTCTACCTCTATGGTCGACGTGGTCACCGTCTTCTACTTAGTTACTTTCCAATCTATAGGGCCCCTATATAGCTTATAAATGTAACCCTCGGAGCTTTTCCTATCCTTATTATCTCTAAACGATATATCGCTTATAAATTCAATTAATTTTGTAGCTAGCTAGAGACTAGGGTTATTTTCATCTTAACTTCTAGTACTATACTCGATGGCCTAGTACCTGGTTTCGTATAGGTATTATATAACTCGGTCGATAGTATTAATATGCTTAGGACCGGGGTTAGTTAGGAACTTAGCTAATTTAGCTATAGCTTTTGTAGTATCCGGCCGGGTGATAGTAGTAGTATACTAAGTAGATCTAACCTTGGCCTAGAAACTATGAATCTGACTCGGTGATACTACTCTATCGTACGGAATCAATTGATCGATAGCTAGTAGGGATCCCACTTTCCTTATAGTGATCAAATTATACTTTGCTGCTATACTCTTAATATAGCTATCCTAGTATAACTAAAGCTTCTTTTATTCCCTATCTCTAAGAATTCGTATATTTAAGAACCAGCTTATATCTAGTTTACGTAATTCCTATTACTTCTTGATCTCTCTATCTAGCTAAGCTACTTACTCTACGTAGTAAGGATCTAGATAATTTATAATAATAATATCGTCGATATAAAAGAAGACGATAATACCGGTAGTAATAAAGATATATAGATCTTCCGGCACTAGGGTAAGGCCTAGTTTTACTAGTACCTTGGTTACTTCTTACTACTATAGTCTTAGTGATATACGTAATCCGTATAGCGCTCTATAGAGTAGCTAGTATTAATTTAATACTTCGAATCCTAGAGGGTACTTTATATATACCTTACTTTATAGTACTAAGTTTAGAAATATAGTGACTATATCTCTCTATATTATATCTAGATCGAATGTAGCTACTAGTATAAAGATAGCCCTCGCTATCTTAATAGCTAGTATTACGGCTCTCTTTTCCTCTATAGACAACTATTAAAGATCTCTACGAATATAGATTCTTACTTTGAACTTCTCTAGTATACTATTGGTATCGAATTTGTATATAAATATCTACTTTAGTAGTAGTACCTATATATCTCGCTCGTTCGGAATTGGAATCTAGGAGAACGTCTCCTTTTTCCTTAATATCTTAACCTCGAATATAGCCGCTGTTTTAAACTACTCGGCGAATCGATGGGTCTTTAATTGATTCTAGGTCTCTGGCGGCGGTGGTAGGTTATCTCGATATAGCTTAGTATTAAACCGCTTATTTATGCCTATAGTGAATGTATATAGTAAGCTTAGTGGCTTAATCTATTCGTTAAGAGATAGGTATATAGTATAATCTAGATCTAACCTTGGTTTCCTAGATCTGGTACCGGTGATGATATTTGATATATCGATATCACCTACTATATCTCTTAGTGCTCGATCTAAACTTGCTTAGGATGATATTAATCTGGATATTATCTCTCGCTAGGATGGTTCTGGGGTCGGCGAGTACGCTATTTCTTGCTATAGTTGACGCTCTATCTTAGTTTCTTTATCTAGTCCTTCTACCCCCCTAGTTTCGATCGACGGTATCACGGAAATCGGATCTAGCGACGATGGGATAGTTTCTCGGGGTACTAGATTCGATGGAATCGATGGATTCGATGGAATCGATAGATTCGATGGATTCGGAGATATTGATATTATTCTAGATACTAGTGATGATGATCTTGGTGGTAGAGAGGATGATAATAATAGTCTTGGTGGTAGGTATTACGGACCTATCCGTCACCAATCAGTGGTGACCCATAGGCATACCAATAGGCTATCGAGAGCTAACAGATCGAGATCACGTATAACGTATCTGGTAGAAAAGGGTTCGCTAGAAGGTAGCTATTACCGGCCCTTATAGGGCAAATAGCAATTCTACCTTATAACAATATCGATTACCCGTAACCGCCTAGAATACGTAACCGTAACTCTAGGACCTACTCCTAGGAAGTATATCCGGGGAGTCACTAGCGACTCTAGTAGTAACTCTAAGGGAGTCACTTAGGGAGTAGGAAACGAAGGATATATAAGGATACTCCCTTATATACTTAGTTTAGTTCTTCGTCTTTAATTATATATTATTACTTATATTTACCTTTTAGATTACTATAACTCTTTACTTAATTATAACTTAATAATACTTATAAGTAGACTAATACCCCGGTATAGATCTACTCGGCGCTCTACCTAGTATTAGTTCCTTAATCGCTTAAAAGGACTTAGGCTACTATAAGGCCTTACGTAGTATTAGCTTAATTAAGACCCGATTATTAACGTTAGACTATTCGAGGAGTATTAAGGTAAGTATACCCTAAACCTATCTAACCTAACTATAACTAGTTAGCTAATACGTAATATATTAAAGACTATCTTAAATTAAGTTTCGAGTTATAATAAGTAATATATCTTATACTAGTACTAGGAAGAAGCCTATTCGGGAGTAAGTCACTCTACCTATAGAGGATCCTAACTTTAACGTCGAACGAGATAATATTATTACGGAATAGAAGCGAAAGATTAGCGAACTTAAGTATAATCTTAAAAAGGTTATAGATTAGCTTAGTAATTTAGGTAAGTAAAGCGGTACTAAGTTTAGCGAGGTCGACGACTATTTTAAGTAGATTAAAGCTTAAGTTAACGCCTCTATACCTATTAGTACTATCTAGATACTACGACTACCTAAGGCTAAGTTCTTTAAGGGAAACCGAATTAAACTTCGAGGATTCCTTACTTAGATAGATATATACCTCGATATAAATAGCGCTAAGATATCTAACGAAGCCGGTAAGGTGATTTTTATATTAACCTACTTATATAGTTAAGTATAGGATTAATTCGAACCTTATATCTATAACTATTATAGAAAGAAACCTAAAGAATAGTCGGATACTACGATAAATATCTTTAGTAAGTATCGTAACTTCTATCGATACCTTAAAAATATATTTAGAGATATTAACGCTACGAGAATAGCCTAGAAAAAGTTATAATAAATCCGATAAACCGGAACTATATTAAGCTATACCTCTAAGTTCTTATAAATTATCTTTTACTTAGATTAGCTAGATAGAGTATATCTTCCTTACTTCGAAGCTAGAATAAAATCCGACGTTAAGGATAAACTAGCGCGAATAGATTAGCTAAAAGAGCTTAATTAACTTATTAAGATTATAGTTAAGATCGATAACTATAATAGCGAACGAAAAAAGGAACGATATAAGATAGAATTATAGAAGCGTAGAAAGATATATAGCTTTAACCGATTTAGTAGACGCTATAAAAGAGCGATACTATAAGATAATAATCTATATAACCCGAAGCTAATAGAGTTAGATACTACTTATAATAAGTAAAAAGAGTATTATAATAAGAATCTTTATTTTACCTATAGGAAACTAGGATACTACGCGAAGGAATATAAATAGAAGAAACTATACGAGAAACGATAATATATATAGGCGATACGCGAAGTACTATAAGCGACCTAAAAGGGAAAGGCTACTACTAGTATAGGTACTAGCGCCGAAGAAATAAGCGCTAGTTAGGAATACTAGAAGGAAATATACCCTAATAAGTAATAGGGCGACTTAAGAGGGTAGGTCGGGACCTTTATCAATAGCCTTAAAAGTAGTAGGCGAGTCGCTATAGACCTAAGAGACGAGCTCTTAGAAGATCTTATAAGTAGGTACTAAGGCCTTAACCTAGAAGAGATAATAACGGGCAACCTATATATTAAAGGGTTAGCCGATAAGCTAGAACTCGATTATCTAGAAATCGATTAGGATATAGTAGAAAGTTAAGGGTAGATATAGTATATACCCTAGGTACTAATCTAAGACCTAATAGGACTTAAGGCTAGGGAGGACCTCGATCGGCGGTCGTAAGACCTACTAGGCCTAGAGACTATAGTTATAGGAATAGAGAAGTCCTAGGACTATAATCGTCTTAGGACGAACGATATAGGACCTCTAGAGATATAGAACCCGATCCTTAGAGCTAATAGTAATCTAGGAACGCTAGATACGCTTCCTAGAATAGATTAAACTATCCTAAAAATACTAATAGAAAGCCCTATAAACTATTATAATAATAAAGAAGCTAAAGAGCTTATAGGATATCTCGAAGGAA